GGAGGGGAAAGATGGAAGACAGCCTCACACAAAGAGAAAGTGCCACTTTTTTAAAAGCTGACAGACCGCTACAACTAGGGAGTTTGCGAGGAAGCTCCCAAGGCTCCCTGGGTGCCGACACTTGGAGATTTTAGAATATACCCTGGGGGATCACCCTTTTAGAACATGTGCTCACACCCTCATCATTTTCAAATTCAGAAACAAAGATCCTATTGTCCAATTCTCTCTATTTCTTTTTTTTTATTCATTTTAATGAACATTTACAGAGATTTTGGATTTTTTTTTTTTTAAAAAAAGGCTGACAGACCTTTAAACACAGATGGAGCATTTCCTATATGTACTTTTTAGTGAGACACTTGCATGTTAGAAATCTAAAATAAAGAACATGACTATCTCTTGAGTAAAATAAAATTACTGAAGTAAACGATAAGAACTCTCTGGTAGTATAGTCTGGTACACGTTGGATTGCTAACCAAAAAGTTGATGGTTTGACTCCACTAAAGGAGAAAGATGAGACAGCCTTATCCCATAAAGATTTACAACCGTGGAAACCCAAGGATGCGTCACCTTGAGTCAAAATGGACTTGATGGTAGCAGGTTATGGGTAAAGTAAATGATGGGAAATACTTGTTTTGGCTTTAAAAAAAATTGTGATGAGGATGACAAAAATTTGCCATGTCAGGATTTTTCACATGTACATCACAGTGGTATTAATTTTATTCCCAAGTCACTGAGCTTGGGGACTTAGGGCCACTGTCTGGGAGGATGTCTGCATCAGTCGGCGTAACATAGTCCAGGAGACAAATGTTTTATATTCTGTGATGGTTGAGTAGTGACTGATGTCTTTAAGCTTGTGAACAACCATCCAAGACGCAGCAAGTATTGGTCTCTCCGAGTATGGGGCAAAGAAGGGTGAAGATCAGAGACTCAAGGTGAAAATTAGTTCAAGAACTAACGGGTCACAGGACACAGCCTTTTGAGCTGGAGACGGCGCCTGGCTGCCATTACCAACTGCTCTGATAGGAACATTAACAGAAGATTCTGGACAAAAGGGAGGAGGGAGTGGAGAAGAAAATTCAAAACTCTAAAAACGATCAGGCTACCAGGTTAGGGATATACTGATGGAAACCCCAAGGCCATGGCCCATTGTTGCTGCTGCTGTTAACTGCGAATGGGTGTCAGTCAAGTCCATCTCACAGTGGCCTTGTGAAAACAGATCTGAATCTTGTCCTATCTTGTGCCGTCCTCACCCCCTCTGATGTCCATGAGCTCATTGCTGTCACTCCATGAGTCACTGACAACGAGTCATTGTGTAAATCCCTCCTGTTGAGTGTCTTCCTCTCTCTCGCGGACCCTCCAGCTTTCCAAAAGATGATGTCTTCTTCCAGGGACAGACCTCTCTTGCCAACATGCCTTCACAACCAGTGTGTGAGACGAAGCAGTACCATTCTTGCCTCTAAGGAGTACTCTGGTCACACTTTCTCCAAGACATATTTGTTCTCATGTCCCATTAAATACCCCTTAAGTCTGAAACTAAACCTACCCCTCGACTGACTTTCAGCTAAACAATAGATGGACCTCCAAGTTAATAATAACACCGGGGAGGAATGGGTTCCAGAACAATCCAATCAGCCATACAAAACCTGTTTGCCACGTTGACAACATTTGCCCCAAACCAAGCTCAGAAGGCAGAAAAGGGCAGGAAAAATCCCCCAGGGAGGAAGTGAGGAGACAGCTGTGGGACTGAGAAGAGTGTTAACTAATGTCACAAAATAAAATGTATATAGTTGGATGGAAATTAATGTCTCTGTGAAATTTTCATTCAAACGACAATATAAAGTTAAGGGAGGGGGGAAGAATATTTTTCACGTTGTACAACCATCACCACTATCCACTTTTAGATTTTTCCATCACCGTGAACATAAGCTCAGTGTCTTCCAACCAGGAATTCTTTCTCTGATCCCCCCTTTTCCCTGTCTCTGAGCTTTGGTCAAACATAGCTCTGAACCACACATCTCCTGCTGTGGAATCGTTTCCAGCAGAGTGACTCTGCCAAGCAGAGGAAACGTGCCCCAGGGTTTGCAAGGATGCCATCCATCTTTACGGAAACAGACTGCCAGCTTTCTACTGAGGAATGGCAGATGGGTTCAGACTGCTGCTTTCCACCGCACCACCCCAGCTTCTTTAAACAAAGGTATACAAGACTTAAACATGCCCCCTACTGTGATCAAGTCGATTCTGACTCAAGTTGTTGTGTGACAGAACTGACTCATTGTCCACCCTCCAGCAGGTTGTCAGAGGTGATAAACCATCTGAGGGGAGATTGTTCATCTTTCTGCCTTTGAGCAGTTGGTAAATTTGGACATAGAAACCATATATAGACCTAGTTGTTGTTGTTGTTAGATGCCTTTGTGTTAAGTGTGACTCATAGTCACCCTATGAACAACAGATCGGAACCCTGTCTTATCCTATGCCACCTTTACAATCTCTGACACACAAGCCCATTGCTGCAGTCACCGTGTCAATCCACCTGGTTGAGGGTTCACCATCCTTGCCTCCAAGGACCACTCTCGCTGCATCTTCTCCAAGACATATCTCTTTGAGTTTTTCTTTGCCGTTCATGGGATCTTCAATACTTCTCACCAACACCACAGACCTGGAGTCTTCCCCAGTTAGGCCTGTTCAGCAGTTTCCAACATTGAAAGATCATACACACTTGTTTACCCGTCTCTAAGTTTTGGATACTTTTTTCTTTATGTAAATCATCTGTTCATATAATTTTCCTATTGTATAGTTCCTCTTTTCCCTTCTTGAGCTTTAAGATTTATCTGTTGGGAAAGTTAACTTCTTGCCTATGAGATGAATTGCAAATATCTTTTACCAGTTTGACAACTTTCTCAAGAACTTTTTGTTTGTCTGATTCATTTTTCTCTTTTCAAACCAGAACATTTACTTCATGGAGCACAGTTTTACCAGTCTTATGGTTTTGTAGTTGAGCCTGCCTTCTCTATCCCAAGGGTATGAATTTTTTTCTCGAACATCGTGTTTTCTTCTAGAACAATTGTGGTCTCATTTGTACATTGAGATCTTTGGTCTTTAGACTGTACAGCATGTAAGGAATCTGTTTTTTCTCTCTGCCTTTTCCCCCCCTCAAATTTCAAGTTGTATTGCCTTCATGACATTCTAATAGGATCAAGGAATGACTAAACTTTACCTTAGACCTTGGGGCCATGGGGTCAAGACATTTAGCACTGTTGCTAGAATGTTCCTTTGAGAAGCAAAAAATTACCTTGTTTTGACTCTTAGAGAGATTAGAGCTGCTATGCTCTCCAATATCTGAAAATTATCATTTGAAGTCAGTATTTATTTTCTTAGTCATGCTTCCTCCATTTCCCCTCCCAAATAAAAATTTGGTAGATGGGTGGGGTAATCACTAGTAAACTGTCAAAGAGGATTGTTTATAACAGGAGCTAAGGAAAAACAAAACAGCAGCAACAACAAAAACTAACAATCCCATTTAAAAAAATTATTAATTTTAATGAACATTTACAGAACAATCCCTTTTTTTTTTTAAAAACCCACAAAACACCAACAACTCCTCTTAGAAGTCCTATAGAATGAGTTAAGTGTGCGTTCCTATTCAGTAGCTCTTACATCGTTTTGTCTAGACAGAAACCACCAGTTCTTGGTATGTGTCTTGAAGCAGAGAAAAGTCAAGCTGGAGTCATTTATGTCTATTATCAGCTCAAATTTGCTTTAACTTTGCTCCCAAGGAAACTGTGCTTTGAAACAACCAAGCATCTTGATCTGAAGGTAGTGATAATCTGATTGAAACTGTGCTTACAGCCATTCACCCAGTTAGTCATCCGTTTGACCTGTGAATTCTTTTAGCTGCAGGCTCTGTCCCTGTCATTAAGGAGCCAGCAGTTCACAAACGGGAGGCCTGAGCATCAAGCGGGACATTGGAGCAAGGGTCGGACAGAAGGAAGCAGTACGGAGGTGAGGAGGCGACCCAGCCGGGAGCACAGAGGAGATTCTGGAATTGGTGTTCGAATTTGATAGGTAATTAGGAATTATCCAGAAAGAAGAGGGGCGAGGGCATTGCAATGGAGGGTCAAGGAAGAGGTAGTGAAGACACCAGGCTGAAGAGGTAGACAAAGGTTGAATTGTAAAGCATTGTAGTAAGTGGTTGTAGAGGACAATGGGAGCCATTACATTTCAAAGAAGGGAGTGGCAGGAGTGGGGTTGTGACCCAGGATTGGGGGTGCACACTGAGGGGGTGGGCTTCAGGAGATGTGGACGCCTGCCTCACTGGGCTATTTGAAGTCATCCCTAAAGTCCACAGCAGAGGCTGAGGAGTGCCTGCTAGCTCAACAAAGTTCCAAGCCCAGCCTGTCCCTAGTGACAGGCCCTGGCAAACAGCATTTTCTGGGAAAATCAATCCTTTCCCAACAATCCCTTGCCAGCTGAGGCAGGAGGCCCAGATGCATGTTCTGTGGAAAGTTTCCCCATGGTGGAGACAGGAAGATAAGAAAAGACATCTTTTCTGGTGTCCAAAGAGAAGTCCTTTGGGTAGAAACTGACTCGAGGGAGGAACTCCCTCACCTCACCATGAGAAGGGACCCCCAAATCCAGACCAGGCAGAAGGAGGGTCAGGAGCTGCAGGACAAATGCCACTACTTGTGCCATTTTTTTCCTTTTTCCCATAAAGAAACTAAACAAAGCATTTGCATTCAGCGGCCCCTCAGGAAGACCAGTCATTTCCTGAGACACTATCGGGCCAGCCCAGGCCTCATTGTTCTTGGTTTCCAGCAATGGCTGCCATTACCTGACCAGCGCCCCAACTGGTCTCTGGCAGGCTCCTGGAGAAGTTACCAGAGCAGTTTCTGCTTTACCACAGGGCAGGTTCCTCAGCGGAGGGAAGTGTCTTCTGCCCGAGAGGCATGGCCAAAAGGCAGAACTAACTTGTGTCCTAACCCTGGTCAGTTGGAGCTCTCAGGATGCAACTGAGGTGGCCTGGAAGGGACAAGATGTGGCTTGGAATCCTGCTGGCACTTCTGTTCTGTGAGTTTTTTATCCTCTTCTTGCATGAACTAAACTTTAGGAGAACTGAAACTTCTGCAATCAACTATTTCTTTTGTCTTTTCCAGGCTCAAGCCTTGAAGGTCAAGAAAACTGTAAGTTGTGATACATTCATTAAGTTTCATCTTATCTTTTTTTTTCTTTTCATGACTCTTAAAAGTTCAGGCCAGCTTTTGGGGGCTTGATGCTTACTATCCCATTTTTGGCAACAAAACACTTCTAAAGGGTTCTAATTGACAAGTGCCAGAAGCAGCATGCACGGCTCCCTCCCTTTTAAAATCTTCTTTTTCAAGATTCTAGAAATTATGATTTTTTTTAAAAAAATTCTGAAGTTTAGAGCCCAGTTCTAATCAGTTTGTTCTACAAGTAGCGTGCATCTTAGATTCCACCAAATTGCTATGTATTAGGACTGAAGAGGTGATTAAAAAGCAGGCGATTCTTATTTGTTCGTAGTTATTCTAGAAATTGCTCTTTTTAATACTCTACTCTGTCCCAAATTGTTTTTATTCACAAATGAGATAGGACTCGTTAGAGGCATGAAGATAGAACTTTAAGTAGTTGCTATTGTCTGTCTCCCCTAATTGATCTAAAACCTATGTTATACCTTATTTCCTATTCTATATGCGCTTATATCTGTAATCTTTTGGGCAAGATTTCAAAGACAGACAGAGCTCTTTGAAGCCTGGTTTCTCATCCATTCTCAAGCTGATCTTGAAACTTTATCTTGGAAAGAAAAGTGGGTTTTGTTCTGTTTTAAGGAGCCCCGGTGGAAGTGATTGGTTGCAAACCGAAAAGTCGGCAGGCAGTTCCAACCCACCAGAGCGATGTGGCAATCTGCTTTTGTAGAAGTGTGTTGTTGTTGTTGTTAGGGATCGTTGAGCCAGTTCTGACTCTTAACGACTCTCAGGATGAAACACTGTCTGGTCCTCCACCAGGCAGACAATAGCTGCTGTGGTCCAGCTCACCGTTAAAGCCTCTGTCTCAAAGATTTACAGCCTTGGGAATCCCGCGGGGCTGTTTCTACTCTGTCTTACTTGGGTGTTGTCAGGAGCAACAACTACTGGTTTGGTCTGGGCCCTGCTTTCTCTGGGACCAAGTGAGGAAGGGGTTTGACTGGGTCTGCAGCCTGGAGGAAGTGGGGTCCACAGGGCAGAATGTCCTCGTTGCCCACGTTAGTCCATGAAGAGTAGGGGTGGTTCGTTTACAGAGATGTATAGATCTTTGGAGATGAAGTGAAGAGACAGTGCTGGTTTCTTGACCCAAGGCTCTGAGCCATGACCTTGAGGGAGTTGGCCTAGAGCGACAACCAGCAAACTTAATCTGATTTTCATGCTAAGTCTTCCGTGTGTTTCTAAGGACATTCTATTCCCGTGGCGCCTATGGAGACGGGTACTCCTTGTCTTCATAACCACCCTAATTGTCTCACGATGCTGCCAGGGCACAGAGAAGTCACCAGCTTGTCTATGCGAGTCAGTCGGACATCTAGACCCTAGTCTACCTGATACCCAGCCATCTGCCTCAAAGCCTTTTAAGCCAGTGTTATACTTTCCTTTTCTGACCTCTTTTCCAGTCTCTGAAATGGGGTGATAATAGAACCTCTTGAGAAGCTCCAGTGGGGGGGGGGGGTAAGGGAGGGATTCACCCAGCATAGTGCCTGTTCCATGTACAGTGGTTAATCAGTGGTGATGAGATCCATATTCAGACCTCTCCCCCTCCCTCACCTTTACTGTAATCGGAGCCTCTGCACCACCACCCCCCTTCCCCACTCTGGTGGCAAGCTCTGAAAACATCAGGACTTTGAGCTTTTCCTACTCTCTACATCCTGTTTTCCAGGAGCGTCTTTCTCTGCTGTTTCCTTCTCTGCCCCAACTCTCCCTTCCCTGGTTTCCTAAAGGGTGTTCTTTGTGGGTATACCCCTAGAACTACACCACCCAGACAGGCTGGCCCGCTGTCACCCTCCCACTGAGTACTCAGGCCTCAGCCCTGGTGGGGAAGCCCACACCTGGTCTCATGAGGCTGACACATCAGGTGTTGGTGGAGCAGGGACTAAGACCCTGATCTCCTGTCTCCTGGGAGTCTGGAGTCCATGCTGAACACAGCTTCCTGTTTGTTCTGTGTTGCCTGCTGTCTGAAGGTCAGGCCCTTGGTCAGCCTTGACCTTTTTCTTCTATCTCTGGCCTTTGCAGCCCCCTCAAATCCCAGCCTAGCTCCCAAGGAGATGACTTCAGCTCTATCTTCATCCAGAAAAAAGTGGCTGTCTGGAGGGAACTCCCTCCACTTCCTGCTCTGCCCTGGCTACGAGCTTATCTATCTTCCCACCCATCTTCCTGGCTTCCCTCCGGCCTACGGGGCGGGCGATGCCCTCCCCTGTGACCAATCAAGGCTGCCATCCACCTGGGCTCTGCGCCCATCTGTTCTCATCTCCTCCAGAACCTTTCATGATTGCTGGCTCAGCATCCCCTCAGTCTCGTAATGTCTTTGTTCTTCCTCTGCTGCCTTCTCCCCGCTCCCCACTTCAGTCCCCAAACCTGGTTGAGTCATTCTCGGTTTGTTTTTTCTGTTTTGATTTTTTTAAAATAAAAAGTCCTACACACACACACACACACACACACACACACCCCCCTCCCTCCATTTATCTTGTTTCTTTCTAGCTAGTTACTTCCTTTCTGGCAGACACCTTTGAAGTTTGACTTATAATCACCATTTCTGCTTCTACTTCTCACAATCACACCTCACTTCACGACTGGCTGGCCTCAGTCCCCACACCTCCTCACCCTCGGACCTTCTCACTAAACGGTCCTCTAATGCCAAGTTCAATGGACAATTCCTGCCCTTAGCTTACTAGGCCTCACACTGCCTTTGACTGTTACCCAGGTCTCCTTCCTCATCATTCTAGACAATCTTTCCAGCATTCTCTCTAGCCTTGCAAACTTTGGGTTTTTTTGAGGGTTGACTTCTCTCTTCTGATCTCCACAGTCTCTTCTACTTGGAGGTCAGTTCGCCTCCAAACCCCCACACCCACCTTTGGTTAATCTAGCCCTGACTTCCTGAGTGTCGGGCTCAATTCAGGGCCAATTATTGAAGTTTCTTATTATCCCATTTCTTGTTGTGTACCATTGAATTGGGACCAACTCATAGCTGGCTCTCCAGTGAGTTTTCAGAGGCTGTAAATCACATGGGAAGAAATTCCCCGTCTTTCTCCCACAGAACATCTAGTGGATTTGAACTGCATGCCTTTGTGTTGGCAGCCCAATTCCTTACCACTAGGCCATCAGAGCTCCTTCGTTATCTCCTTGTTGTTTGTTGCTGTGTACTGTTAGTCGGAGATGACCCATAACTGGTCCTTCAGAGGGTTTTTAAAAGCAGTGAATCACATGGGAGGAAGTTGCCTAACTTCCCAGGGAGCAGCTGGTGGATTCAAACTACTTACCTTTGCATTGATAGCACAGTTCTTTACCACTAAGCCATCAGAGCATAGACCTCTCAAATCCAACTGCTCAGCCCCTTGTCTTCCTCCATCTTTTCCCAGCATTCTCTTCTGTCTTCATTGATACTGTCCTGGGCGCCTAAACCAGAAACCTGGTACTGTCTTCCAGTCTTTGCCTCAGCTCCACAACCAATCAAACAGGTCCTTTGGAATCTACGCAAGAGTTAACCTGTCCCCTACCTCACTCTCATTTTTCCTCGCCTAGCTCAGGTCTCACCAGATTTTACCAACAGACTATTGCTCTGCCAATAACAGTTTTTCTGAAATCCACTTAAATCTTTGACCCCTTTCCTTAAGAACCTCAAAGGGACCAGACCATTAGCGTGGTAGGCACAGCTCTTCCCTCTGGTGTCACCCCCCTGGCCCTACACTCTGGTTCCTGTAACTGGCTGTGCCAAAATGTGCCGTAATTTCTCATGCCCCCATGCCCTGGTACATCGTGTTCTCCTGCCCCACCTTCCCTTCTTGGCTTGCTTCAAGATTCACTCCAGGGGTCACTTCCTTAAGACTTTCCTTGTGCTCTGCTGGGCAGCCCTTGCCCTCGGGACTCTCATTGTTTGTTCTTTACTTTCTGTGAGTCGTGGGCAGCAGGGATGATTTCTCACTCTGTAATTCCATCCTGTAGCATGCCTACTCCATAAACATGCTCTGAAAGGGATTGGAACAGGATTTGCAGATGCTTGAGATTGAGAAACTGAACTCAGAATTCCCTGTGTTGAGCATAGTTCATCAGAGACTCCATGTTTCATGACTCCCTGGAATTTTCCTGACAGCGCTGGGCTGGGTGTGTGTGTGTGTGTGTGTGTGTGTGTGTGTGTGTGGTGCTTCTCCCCGCCTCCTCTCTTCCTAATTTCCGTGTTGAGAGCCAGGTGACTGGCTAAGTCACGATGCCTGGTCATCCTCCGAGACAGCGCCATCCACTGCTTGGTGACCCTGAGGGCAATTCTGGGGGTTAGCCCCGTGACCCATCAGTCCCTGTCTGTGTTGCTGTGACTGTACCTTTAGATCTTCCTCTGTCAGCCTTGATCTCTCTGGATTGAAAAGACTTGACCTTGTTAGGCTGCTCCACAACACCGGGCTTTCACCACACAACAGTTCTGAACCTCAAGGGAAAGCTGTGAATCCTCTTTAGAAAAATGCACATTTGCACACAATTGGAGGTCATGAGCCTCAAAGCCCAGCAAAGGCCAAGGGATCAAATCTCAGGGAATCCCACTATCTGACTCATAGTCACCCTCTATTGAGTTTTCAACGCGGTAAATTGTAATGGGAGGAGATTGCCTGTCTTTCTCCGTTGGAGTCTCTGGTAGGATTCAAACTACTAGAAACAAGACAATTTATTACAAAGAGAATAGCTTCCTCTATTATCTTAATAAAAATTACTGCAGCAGTTTTATGCCATTAAATTGACTCATAACTGACCCTCCAGTGAGTTTTCAGAGGCTGTAAATATCATGGGAGGAGATGGTGTGTGTTTTTCTCATAGAGCAGCTGGTAGATTTGAACCACCTACCTGTGGGTTGACAGCTGAACTCCTTACCATTAAGCCACCAGAGCTCCCTTAGTAAGAAGTAGGGTGGAGATTTTTGAGGGTCCTTTGGGGTGTCTTAGTTATCCATTGCTTGTAATAATGATACAATCGTACTGCAGTTTCTGAGGCTCTGCAGCTCCCTGTTGGCTTCGTTGAGTGGCTGTGGCTCAGGGTCTGTCCAGACATTGCACACAAACTGTTGGCCGGGCATCAAAAGGCTGGGGTAAAGATCTGCCTTCATGTTCCCCGGATGCTGTTCCTGAGATAACAGACGTGTCTGCCCTCCTTCCCTTTGCACGTAGCTTTCACCATCAACAGTATCAGCATGCGGAGCCTGCCAGAGTGGACCGTAGGGAACGGGCACAACCTGACCCTCCAGTGCCTCGTGGACATCAGCACCACCTCGGACGTCAGGCCCCAGATCCTCATGCACTTCTACAAGGACGACGTGATGTTCTACAACATCTCCACCACGGGGAGCATAGAGAGCTATTTCATTCCTAAAGTGCGAGTGTATGACTCGGGGAAGTACAAATGCACAGCCATCCTGAACAACAAGAAGAAAACCACTCAAGAGTACGAGGTGTGGGTGAAAGGTGAGTGCCTGGACTTGCACCCAGCACAGGCAGCTGGCGTGTACCACACGCAGGGATTGTGGGTGAATGGAGCCCTGGCTGTTCCTGCCCGTTTCCCTAACCTGAACACTAAGAAGCCTGAGGCAGTTCTCATTCTCAGCGCCTGTTTCTGACCTCCTTGCCTTTGTGTGTGCTGTTCCTTCTGCTGCCAATGCCCTTCCTTCCCCATCTCTCACTCTAAGAACTACTCTTTCTCCTTGAAGCTTCAGCTCAAAGATCACTTTTGACATTTCTCCCAGCAAATTGACTTCCTCCAACCCCCCTCCGCCCCACGAGGCCAATGGTACTGTTGTGTGTATAAAGGCATTTGGTCTAATCACCAAGGACCTGGGCTCTGCCACCATTCAGGAGCCTGGACAAATCTCCTAACCTCTTTACACTTTGAAATGCCCACTAGGAAAATGAGAATGCTAAGATCCAGCTCAGAGTGTTGTTAAAAGGATTTAAAAAAATAAAATAAAAATAGTAGCAGTAGAAGTAAAGCACTTAGCACAATTCCTAGTATGCAGTGAGTTCCCGGTGAAAGTTTCTTGTTTCAGTCAACTGTGTGACTATTTTCCTGGGCTGAGACTGTGAGGAGAGAGATGGGTTGTTGGGTCTACTTTGGAAGCCAAGATAAAGAGCCTCTTTCCTACACAAAGTCTCCACCATCTAGTTGATTCCCACTCCTGGGGACCCGATAGCACAGAGTGGACCATCTCCACAGGGTGTCCAGGGCTGTAAATCTTAACAAGAGCAGACTGGATCGGTTCTCTCTTGTTAAGCAATTCGTGGGTTTTAATGACTAAGCTTTTGGTTAATAACCCAATACTTAAAGCAATGCACCATGAGAACGCCTTTGGCTCCTTGTAGCCACTCAACAAGTGGTTTGGGAATGAAGAAAACAGATGAAAAGGGTTAGTAGAAATAGGGCAGGGATATACAGAAAGGAGGGAAAGTGGTGGGCAGACTTGTGAAGTCACCCTGGTGACGTAGAGGTAAAGAACTGCGCTGCCAGCCCAAAGGCGCACGGTTCAAATCTACCAGCCGATCAGTGGAGGGAAGATGGACAGTCTACTGCCATGTAACTTAGTGCTTCTGGAAACCAGCCAAAGGGGCAGCTATGAGTCAGTTCCAACTCTACAGCTCATGACAACAAGCATCAGCTGAGCTTGTGAGTCATGGGAAGGCTGGATGCTGGGGATACGAAGACCCCACAAAGCCATGGCGGTCTGGTGGGGAGAAGACATTTCAATTGAGTTCAGTCATCTCATAATCCAAATGCCTGGGAGCACAAAGGAAGAAAGAGAAAACCACAGACGTTAGGGAGAGGTATCTGGAAGAAGTGGCGTTATGTACAGATACAGAAGGTGGTCCAGGAGTTTACTTGATGGTGAAGTGAGCAAAGAAGCGGGAGACAATTTGAAAGAGCAGGAGGTGAGAAGGAGTAACCAGGTTCTGCCTTGTATCAACTGGATCCCCTTCAGGCGAATACACCAACCCCTGGGCGTCTCTTTTGTTTTCTTTTGCGGATGTGATAGAATAGATAGCAAAGACTGAGTATTCCGTGCCAGAGGTTGAGTGGACACACATCCATTATGAGCAAGGTATTCTGTTAAACCTTCCCACCCACTGCTGCTTCACAGAAACAGTCACAGTTGTAGGTGCTAGTTGCTAAATATGGTGACTGCAACAGTGGGTTTAAGTATAGAGATTTGTAAGATGGTGTGGAATAAGCAGGGTTTTGCTCTGTTGTCTGTAGGGTTGCTGTGAGCTGGAGAACACTCCATGGCATCTAACAACAATAACAACAATTGCTTGAGGTTTTGACTCCTTGATACACCTTAGCTTGGTTTAGTTCAGAATGTTGTTGTTGTTGTGTGCTATTGTGTTGCCTGTGACTCAGCAACCCTATGAACGTAGCTCTGAACCTTGCTCTATCCTGAGCCAATCTTGCTGTCTCCCACACACCTGCCCCCATTTCCCCCACCACTGTGTCAGTCTATCTTATCCAAGTCTTCCTCTCCTGTGCTGACCCTCTACCCTTCCAAGCGTGTTGTCCTTCTCCTCAGATTGATCCCTCCTGGCAATGTCCAAAGTATGTGAAATGGCAGCTCAAAATCCTTGCTTCCAAGGAGCTGCCTTGTTTCATCCTCTCCAGGACAGACTCGTTTGTTTCTTTGACAGTCCATGGCATGTTCCAGACTCTTCTCCAGCACCACAACTCAAAGGCATAGATTCTTCTTCTGTCATCAGTCGTAGCTGCCATTCCAGCAGGGTTTTGTTGAAGAAATTAGCTGTGGAGTGACTGAAAGAATACCCAGGATGCGTCTAGGTGACTGTGGGGGCCAGGCCCTCACTGGTCCTATTCTCTGTCTCCTCCTAGGCCTCCTAAACTCACTGAGTTTCCACTTTGCTTGGTAACCTACTGTTGTTGTTGTTGTTGTTAGGTGCCATCAAGCCAAGTACAGCTTACAGTGGCCCTATGAACAACAGATCTGAGCCCTGTCCTAGCCAATGCTAACCTCATAATCTCTGACACACTGGGACCCACTGCTGCAGTCAGTGTGTCAGGCCATCTGATTGAGAGTCTCCCTCTCTTTCACGGACCCTCCACTTTTCCAAGCATAGTGTCCCTTTCCAAGAAATAGCCCTTCCTAACAACGTGCCAGAGTATGTGAGATGAAGCTTCTCATCCTTGCGTCCAAGGAGCACTCTTGCTTTACCTTCCCTGAGGCATTATAAGTAGTACAAATAATTCCAATTTCCAGTGACTTCTGTAGGTACTCGTTCTAGACAGTTCACTGAGCTCGTTCTACGGTTGGCTCCTTTCTCCCTCACAGCACTCCTAGGTGGTGAGATGAGGAAGCTCAGGTCCAGCGAGGGGTGGTGCCTGGTTGAGGGTACACACCAGGAAGTGACCAGTTTAGGATTCAAGCAGAGACTGTCCACCTCCAAGATGGAGCTCCTTACCGTGCAAACCCATCATCTCTGAGTTGGCCTCCCTGCTTCTCTGGGTTCACCCAGCCCACCACCCTACATACATACCATCCCTGTCTCCCCTCTTTCCTAGGCAAAAACCAGAACAAAAAACCTAAACCCAAGCTCCAAGTTAATAATAATTTAACTGTGCTCCACTCAATTCTGACTCATGGCATGTTAAAGAGGGCTGAGCTCCTTGGGACTTTCTTTTTCTTTTTTTTTGTGTGTGTGTACCATCAAATTGAATCCAACTGGTACAGGAGGAGATTGCCCCTCCTTCTCCAGCAGAGCTTATGGTGAATTCAAACCACGCGCCTTCAAGATTGCAGTGCAGCTTCTGGACATTAGGCCATCAGAGCTCCCTTCCAGGGGACTTTCTTACCTGTAATCATAACATAAGCAGATTGCCAGAATTTTCCATGTGTTGCTAGGTGGGCTTGAATGCCAAACTCTTGGTAAGTTATGATTGTTAGTTGTTAGGTGCCATCAACTTGATCATAACCCATAGCGACCCTATGGACGACAGTTTGGAAGACGACAGTTTGGAAGACCACCTTGTCCTACACTCCTACGTAGAGGAGCTCAGATAGTTTGCACCCCCTAGAGAAGGTGCCTCTGTACAGGCCTCCCACAAGCCTCTAACGTGTATCCTGAAATGTCTACCCTCATCCCACTGCATTGGTCCAAATCTCACCTCCCTTTCAAGACCCTGCTCGTTTCTGGAATCTGCACTGATCTCTTAGACAAAGAGGGGTTCTTCTCTCCCTGAGCGCCCTGTCACCGTCTCTGCAGTGGATGCTAATGCTTGGTTGTCAAAGGTGTCGTTCTTTGAACCAGGAAGCTTCATGCTGTTATCAGACAAAATATGTATGGATGTTTGAATGGAAACCAAGTTTGTTCTGCTAACTTTCACCTTAATCTCTCTCTCTCTCTCTCACACACACACACACACACACACACACACACACACGCTTGTGCGGACCTAATCAGCTGTTCACATGAACCCTGATGCCTTTCTCTTTCTCTCAAGGTGTGCCCAGTCCCAGGGTGGAGCTGGACAAGACAGAGGTGATCCAAGGCGGGCTTGTGACAGTCAACTGTTCGGTGGAAGAAGAAAAGGGTCCAATAACTTTCAAAATTGAAAAATTTTCAGTAGAGACACAAAGTTCCAAAGGAGTAAGACGGAAGCTGGTTCAGAACCAAAATTTTGCCGAGATCAGCTTTCCGATTGAGGAGCAGGACCGGATCTTAGTTTTCTACTGCCAAGCCTGGATCATGTCAGGACTTAAGCTGGAAAAGTCGGACTCCGTCAGGAGCGACATTGTCACCGTGAGAGGTCAGTCCTCTGCTTCTCTCATTCTCGTGGGTGGGGCTTTAATGTGGGGGCGAGAACCTGGAGTGGGAGCTGTCTGACCTCTCCTGAGGGGAGGGGCAAGCCTCTCACGACTCAAGGCTTGTTCTTAATCACTTTAAATCCGTGTTTTCCAAACTTTTCTTTAATTTGACACAACTAAAAATACATACTCTATATATTATGAAACATTTTTCAAATACATTTTACTTAAGCATATATGTGAAGCAAAGTTTCAGAAGCAATATTTTGTGTATTTTCTATTCTATCTCAGTTTTTGTGTTTTGGTGGGTTTTTTGGTTTTTGTTTTTGTTTTTTTTTAAGAACAAAAACATTGGCATGGCTCACAAAATAGAAGTCAGTGAGGACTTGGGATCTGAGGAGATTGAGAGGGACGGGGGAGGTTGGCATCTCTTCTAGGCCTCTCATATTGGATGAAGAGTTCTACCCTTAAATTCCCCTCATCTTCTGAGACTGCGGACGAATGAGCCAGCTTGAGAAATGTCCTCAGAGAGAAGAAGGTGACAGCAAAGTGAGTGTGGCCTGCAGCCCACCTGTCAGCCTCCTGTGAGCTGGCTGCCTCAGTAAAGAGAGGGAGAGCATGTTTTTTAATTTTTTGTTTTGTTTTGCTTTTGTTTTCTTTTTTTTTTTAATTATTTATTTGTTTATTTATTTTTATTATTATTATTTGTGTGTGTACCATCAAATTGGATCTGACTGGTACAGGAGGAGATTGTCCCTCCTTCTTCAGCAGAGCATCTGGTGGATTTGAACCACGTGCCTCTGGGATTGCAGTGCAGCTTCTTGCCATTAGGCCACCAGAGCTCGCCTTTTTTGTTGTGTTTTTTTAAGACAGCCTCAGAGATTTGCAGAACGCACCAGGTTAATCATAAATGACCTCTTGCTCCAGGCAAGCTCTAATTTTCTGATTATTAAAGCAATAAATGCCCTGGATAAAATTTACAGAAAGTGTGGTAGAACGTAAAAAATATAAAGCAACTATAATAAATCATCTTACCACCACTGAGAGGAAACTGCCCATGTGATTTTAGATTTTTAAATCTATATTCACACACATACAGTTTTTCTTTCTATGAAAATCATGTGGATCTCTAAAGCCGACCCCTAACGGACCCTCTCGCAGGTTTTCAGAGGTGGTAAGTCGCCAGGGAGGAGGTTGCCCAGCCTTCTCTTGTGGAGCAGCAAAGCTTTTCATCAAAATTGGCTTTAGCATCCAAAGTTCTCATTATTGGGGAGCTCTGGTGACCTAGTGGCAAGAAGCGGCACTGCAATCCCAGAGGCACATGGTTCGAATCCACCAGATGCTCTGCCGGGGAATGAGGGACAATCTCCTCCACTACCAGTCAGATCTGATTTGACGGTACACACACAAAAATAATAAAATAAATATTTAAAAAAAGTTCTCATTATTAAGTCATTATTTTACATAAATAAAGTTATTTTACAGTATAAAAGGAAAATTCTAATTTTATCACTTAAATCAATTCCTAGCATGGGCCTAATGTGCTGCAAACAAATGGGCAAGTGATTCAAATTGTGCAGATGTTCCAAGCAGAAAAATAGGTAGTGTCCTCCCACGGGACTTAGAGCCCCTGAAAACCTTCAGGTGGATCAGTGGAAATTGAACCACTCAGTGGATAAATGAGTTCCAACTACATGGAAATGAGTTGGTGCATGTGTATTTTACACAGTTAGCTACAAACAGTAAAGTCTTCTGTGTCCTGTTTAGATTATCTTGGTTTTGTTTCTTTGTTTCTTATTGCCAATTTTTTTTTTCATTCTTGTGGGAACACAGGCCAAGGACCTAGCTATATTTTTTTCCAGTTCTATATAATTTTTTATTATCAATATTTTTCTTGTTCATATGCATTGTGTATTATGCATGTACATTGTATTCCATACAGTCTTTTATTTACATTGTATTTCTTTCATTTATATTGTGAGGGGTTTTTTCCCTCTCCCTTGCAATCATCCTCTCAACAATGACTTTCATAAAATCATATAAGGCAGCTACTTCATGCTTCATCCTCCTCCTTTTTTTAAAAAAAATTTTATTTTATTATTTTTGTGTGCGTGTACTGTCAAATCAGATCTGACTGGTACAGGAGGAGATTGTCCCTCCTTCCCTGGCAGAGCATCTGGTGGATTCGAACTATGCGCCTCTGGGATTGTAGTTGCAGCTCCTTGCCACTAGGCCACCAGAGCTCCCCTTCCTTTTTTTTTTTTTAAAAAAAATAATCTCCTGAAGATCCCATTTCCTGGTAATCTCTGGCTTACATTTCATTGAAGCAGTTATTTTCAAACTATGCCAAGTCATGAATCAACTTACTGATTTTTTTGCATGTTGATAATTAAAATATGCATTTCCACAAATTCACACATTCCACATAATTGTCACTCTTAAAAGCCATAGATTACTCAAGCAGGAGTGCTGGAGGAACAGGAAATGCTTGTGCTAGGTGAGCTGGTAGATCTTTGAATAGGGATCAATCCACTTCTCACTGCTTTGAGGTCAGCTGAAGAAGGTTCTCCAGAATAGACCTAGATACAGCGGCTTGGCTGTTGGAAAAGTTAAGAAGAAAGAATATGCAAGAAGTGAGAGGAAGGACGCATCGGGGCAGCCATGGGGAGGGACTCTGTGAGGAAAGGTGGATAGTTTGTAAGACGTTGTGCTAATCATTCAAAGATGGCCCACTGGGGTTGTTTGGATTTGCCAGCAGCACGGAGGTAGAAAGATGCACTGTCTCTTACCATGTGATTTACAGCCTCTGAGAAACTGCTGGAAGGTCAGCTAGGAGTCCCTGCTGACTCAACAGTGGTAAACGTTTCTAGAGATGAAAAAGGGTAGTGGTGAGCGATAGAATTAGAGCAGAAAAGAGGAGGAAGTGCATCCACCTTTTGCCCGGGTCTGACCGTGAGTCAGCCTGCGTTGTCCTCCTCTCTTGCAGAATCCTTCTCTCTTCCCAAGTTCCACATCAGTCCTGTGGGAATGATCACAGAAGGAGATCAGCTCCACATCAAATGCACCATTCAAGTGACCCACCTGGCCCAGACGTACCCCGAAATCATTATCCAGAAGGACAGGGAGATTGTTGCAAACACCAGAGACCGCACTGAGGCCACCTACTCAGTCATGGCGCTGGTGGACCACAACGGCAACTACACGTGCAAAGCGGAAGACAGCGGGATATCTAAGGTCAGCAGCATCGTGGTCAACATCACAGGTAGGGCTGCTGCCGAGGGTGCTGGCACATGACACACTCCAGGAGCCACCGCCCTAGGCTCCTCGTAGGCAGTGGCCCAGGGGCTCTGCCTTCTTCCCCGGCTTTGCTGCAATGAATGTGATCAGGTGGGACTGTGGCGCTCCTAGAAAGAAGTCAATGCAGGCTGAGTCAAGCAGTCGGCTGTGGTGGCTGGAGTGCAGCCTCTAACATCAAAGCACCCCCCACCCCCTCCTCGACATTCACACTCTTTGGGAGCAGCTCCTTGCCTCAGCTTGGTGGGTGCTGAATCCCTCCTAAAACCACCCCTCCTCAAGATCACTGTTGATGTACTCAAACACCTTCAGGCCCATGACCCTTCACTTGGCCTTTTCATCTGTCTGGAGTACCCTTTACCTTGGATTGTCTGAAAATGTCACACATTCTTTTATTTTTTCAAAATTAATTTTAATGAAAGTTTACAGAGACTTGGGGTTTCCAGTCATTCATTGCTGCACTTTCCTCCTTGCCCATTCCCCCCCCTCCCCCGGAATTCACTCTTCTTGAAAAACTCTTTCCTTATTATGCAGTCCTTCCCCCCAAGTCCACTCCACTGTGCAGCCTTCACTTTGGACTTCTGTAATGACATGAATACCCATTCATATGTCCCTTTTAAACAGTTCTCTCCCTCATCTGTTTCAGTGCAGTATACATCATTCCTCCCCTCCTTCTCTGTCTTCCCTCAACCCCAATGTCAGTCCCGTTTTACAACAGTGGCCCTATGTAATTTTGTCCTTTTGTGACTGAGATATTTCACTCAGCATAGTGTCCTCCAGGGTCATTCATTTTGCATATTTCATGAGTTCCTTGTTTTTCAATGCTGCATAGTATTCCATTGTGTGAAAATGTCTAACATTCTTCAAGACCAAGCCCCAGCTCTCTCTGCCCTTGATAGAGTTCATTGGTAGTCATCTTTATTCCTTTTCATAGGAAGCACTACACTACTAGTGGCCAGATTTTGCTTCTTTCTAATCTCCTGTTCCTCATTTCAGGTCCATGTTATATTCCCTCTGATGTCTAGTCTGGGCCCCTTTTACTCTACCCATTTTTCTCACAGAGGTCTTTCTACAAAACACATCTGACACTTTCTGCTCACCTCGATCCACCTTTGTCCCTATTACCCTGAGGATGCAGTCTGTACATCCTAAGGACCTTTGGGTTTATAGGCCCACCTCTGTCCTGTATGATCCAGAAAGACAGACCACCTTCCCAATGTGTGTTTCTCCTGCCAAGTTGTTCCCTATTGCCTGGATAACTTCATCCAGGAGACCTTTCCTGAGCCCTCAGATCTACCTTCCATGTTCCTTCTATGGGCTCTGCTGCAGATGTGTGTCTGAATCACCCACTAAATAGAAAAGTATTCACAGATAAGTACAACCAAGAACCGCTTCTTATTCACAGCTTTCTCTCTAGTGTCTGGCAAGGTGCGCAAACGGTTGTGGAGTGAGTGGATGCGTGCATCAAAGATGAGGGAATGAATGATTTGTTGCTTGCTGGATAACAAAGTATAACATTTTTCTCATCTATGAATGTGAAATAAATTGGATTAACAAGAATAGAGAACCTGCCGTTGGCATCCCAGAAAGATGAACCAAAGCATTTTGATTATATCATCATCAGGATGTCTGAGAAGCAGAGAAACATGTTTTCTCTGTCTTTTCATAGGAAGTTGTTAGTCAGCTCTACCAAAGTTAAAACGGTCAATCAGGCGGGCTTACGGGTGGTGGCCAGTCATATCTCACCCCTGCCTCACTCACTACTTAAAAAAGATAGCCTTTATTTCTTAGAATAGTTTTAGATTTATAGAAAAGTTGAATGGCATGGTATTGGGTTCCCATACATTCCTCCCTTATATGCATTTCTCCCTTTAACCTTTTCACTCTTGTAGGATATTTGTTACCATCAGTGACTCAATTATTGAGCTTGTTAGTTGTTTACAGATTGGGCCATTCTGATCCATGGAGTTCTCATTGACTGGTTTTGGGAAGTGAATTGGTAGGCCATCTTTCCCAGTCCATATTAGATTAAATGCTTCACTGAAAGGAGTCCGAGGGTTTTGAGTTTGTTCACAGAAGACAAGGATTTTGCCACTCAGTCATCAGTGTCCCCTTATTGATTTGCTAGTATTATTTAAAAATCCATGTTTTGTGCTTTGTAGTGTGCGCCCCTACAGGTTTTGACAAATGCTTTGTTGTGTGTCCACAGTTATGCAATCATGCAGAATAGCTTCACTACCCTGTACACTCATTGGGGTTTTTTTTAGAGCTGTTTTCCAAGCCAAACCTGGAAGCTTCAGCCACGTTACTGGACAGAGGTAAAACCATAAGCCTCTGGTGCACCATCCCAGGGGCGCCCCCGGCCGACTTCACCATCCAGAAGGGAAACACGATTGTCGCTCAGGCTCCAAATTTCACCACAGTCGCCTCAGAGAGGGACAGTGGGGCATATTTCTGCACTGCAGCCATGGGCAACGTGGTCAAGAGAAGCAACAAAGTGAACGTCACTGTATGTGGTGAGTGATGACCTCATTGGCTCAGCGTCCAGTATGAAATGAGAGAGAAGGGTGTTGACTGCCAGCTGCTGCCTTTGCCAGTGTGAAGCCAGAGAAGGCATTAGACAGGTTAAGAATTCAAAGGAAGGAGAGAAAGGTGGAATTCAGAGACCAAGCAGAAGCAAGTGGGTATTCTTAGTCAGAACATCAGGACATGGGATGATCCAGAGAAAATGTTATTGGCCAAAGCCAAGGTCATGGCTTGATTGTGGCTGCCTGCTGATTATGTGGCCTGCTTGGTGAGATTCTGGCTGAGTGAGTAAGAGGCCCCAGAGGCCAGAGAAGAAACACTGCCTGGTTAATGGTACCCTCTAAGCAGCTTTAAGTTCTATCCTTATCCAGCAGACGGGCTAAAGCCTCCAGTGGGCAGAATGTAGAGCACCTTGACCAACTTTCCCAGACTTGAATGTGCAAACCAGTCACCCAGGAACTGGTTAGAGTGCAGCTTCCGCTGACGTGGTCAGGAAGGGACAGCATCTGTGTATCTGACAGTGCCTCGGTGATGCTGAGGCTTCCGGCCTCTGCACCACACTTTGGAGCACTAAGGTCCTAGATGAGTGAGGCACATCCGTTGAACAAACTATTGTTATTATTGTTTAGTCACAATCTTTTGCTTGTGGTCTTTTCATCCAAGATTTCAGTCTCAACTCAACCAAGAGGTTAACTTTATTTCAACTCATGTCTAGCTCAATAGGAAATATTATCAGAGACAAATGTCGAGTTTCCTCCTATGCCTTTTATTATTATTATTTTTGGAAGGAGATAATTTTCATTTATAAACTTTATCAATCAAATAACTTCTAGTAATCACCTAGCAGAAAACGTCACTCCTGAGGCCCATAATTTACTATCAGGAGACTAGAAAGATTTGTTGTAAAATGTATTCTGTTTAAATATTATACTTTTATTTTTAATATAAATTCTTTTTCTGTTTCTTTTTTCAACACACACACACACAAATTATATCTCTGTGTATTTACATGTGCAACATATGAAAATATAAACAGGTACAGAGAGGGAGGTTTTTAATCCACCAACTGCTCCAGGGAGAAAGATGAACACACTTCTCCTCTGTTCTTTTACAGCCTCTGAGCTATAAAGTCATAGCTATGAGTCTTTTACAGCTATGAGTCGGTTCCAACTCAATGGCAATGAGAAGCAGGAGGAGGAGTATGACAGATGGCTTGGGACGAGCCAGTGCTTTGTTCTGTTGGTCATAGGGTTGCTGCGTGTCAATCTGACTCATGTGATAACAATTCTCTTGAATTAGTATGTATGTTATTGTCCACTGTTAAATTGGGACCAACGCATAGCTGACCCTCCAGCAGGTTCTCAGAGGCAGTAGATTGCTCTAGAGATTGTCCATCTCTCTCTCATGAAGCTACAAGTGGATTCAAACCATATGCTTTCGGTTTGGCAACACAGCTCCTTTCCTACGAGAGCTCCTATAAAGGGTCTTAGAAACCCCATGGGCATTTCTGCTCTGTCGTTATACAGTCACTCTGAGTCAGAATCAGCTCAGCAGTGGGCATATTTTGCTTCTAGCATTTCTCTAGCTCTTCCTCCTTCCTCATAATAAATACCCTTTGCCTTTTATTCTTCTCCTCGTTCCTGTTGAGTTGTGACCAACTCATAGTTGACCCTCCAGTGGGTTTTTAGAGGCTGTAAAAAGGCATGGAAGGAGATTGCCCACCTTTCCCCCTCAGAGCCATTGGTGAATTCAAACTGCCTGAGAGTCGCCACCTGTGGGTGAGCATATGACTCCCTGTGGACTGTGACTCCATGGGAGCGCCCGATAGAAATGCTGGGAAGGTGGATGGAGCAGGCAGACATGTGAAGAGATGAGAACAGAGGAAGCAAAGGCCAGAGCCAGAGCAAGGGACTGCTTGGGTTGGACGTTTTGCCTGTGTTGTCTTGCACATCAAATTGTTTTTCCCTCTGTTATTCTAGAAATGCTCTCCACGCCCTTGATTTTCCGTGAAGTCAGAACTGAGGTGATAAAAGGGCAGACGATAGCAATCAGCTGCCAGTCAAGAAATGGAACCTCACCTATATCCTACCGCCTCTTAAAAGCAAAGGAAGTTTCAGGCAGCTTTCAAGTGAACTCAAACGATCCCGTGTTATTCCATGATACCCCAACAGAAGACACTGAATACCAGTGCATTGCGGATAATTGCCATTCTCATGGTGAAATGATTAGTGAGATCCTGAAAGTCAAGGTGATAGGTAAGTTGCTATACTATGAGCAAAGGTCATGGCCAGCTAGGGCTTTAGATAATGACTTTGAAAGCTGAAGGTGTCTAGTGATCGAGGGTCATAAGAGAAATGACTGGTTCTTCTGCAAAACCCATGTCCCAGATGTGAGTCAGAGCAAAACCAAGTCCAGGTAAATGGGGCGAGAAAAGATTCTGGGGTCTATTGACCCAACTCAGTATAGTCTCTTTTCAAAACTGAACTGCTAAGGGAAAGTGAAGCCCTAAAGTTTTGTGTTTGGATTTCCATCATAGTTTGCTCCTTTTTGGACAAACCGATAGTCATCTGTTCTCTGTTCTCTTCTGCACATCTTCATCAGGGTAGCTTTGCAGTGGGCAGAACACCCCAGGTGGTGGACTTGTTAATAAATGCCTGGGATACTCAGAATCAAGAGACAGGGCATTTGCCTTGGAGTGGATGGTCTTTGAGTGGATGGTACCTCGCAGAAGGCAGGAAATGCCATTACTAGGGTTTCTTAAATGTTCTGTTGTAGGAAGCTTAACAAGTCTTGTTCCTCTTCTCATGTAATAACTGTTGATGCCGCTGTGGACATTCAGGATGGATGGAAAGAGCCCTGCTGCTATGTATTAGCTATGAGCAGCCGCATTTTCCAAGTGAACACTGATGTCTATCTATATTAGCCACTAATGCTATCAACATCCCCCAAAAGAAGAGAGAGCCTTTAACTTTGATCATCTAACAAACAGAGAAATATTTGAGTACTAGTGAAAACAGGCATAGAAGAGTTACGATGCAACAACACATGATTAGCTGTCCTGTGAAGTCTCTTTACAATAATGGGGATGAGAATGTGAGAAATGGGTGTATTATCAGGCTGGAGGGGGAAATTCGAGCTAGTCTAGGCGTCAGTTGGCCAACTAGTGGACAGGAAGAATGACAGATGGCTTAGTAACCTAGTCAAGGGCTTAATCAGAAGTGTATGGAGCAGTTGCCAGGCCTCTGGGGTAAGTTTAATGCCTGGAAACAAGTGATAAGTGGGAAGTCGTTAGAAATAAGGCTGTGGGAGCGTCCAATGTCAGTCTTGAGGATATGGAGCTTGTTTTGTATGCAGTGAAGGACGAGAAGAGGAGAGCGTGAGAATGGGAACTCGGCAAATGGGCCTGGTGGCTCTATGACTTAGAGGGAGCAGAGATGCCAGACCCCATGATATGCTCGGGCTGTGACCGAGGCCCACGTCACTGTCTGTTTATACATTTTCGTTGTTGTTAGGTGTTGCTGAGCCAACTACAACCTCTAGTGACCCTGTGAATGACAGATCTGAGCCTTGTCCCCTCTTGGGCCACCTTCATGATCCCTGATATACTAGGGTCCATTTGTTAGCATTTACTGAGCTTGGACCATGGGTCCAGCTCTGGGTGAAATATTCTCAGTAAATCATTTCCCTGGATACTTACAATAGTCATGTAAGTTAAGGTAGTGAAAGTGTGTTCTTTTTACAATGAGGGGGATAAGGCTTAGGACAGACAACTGGTGAGTTGAAGTGGGATTTTTAAAAAATTTTTTCGTTTTTATTATTTTTTGTGTGTAGTATCAAATCAGATCTGAGTGGTACAGGAGGATATTGTCTCTCCTTTTCCAGCAGAGCGTCTGGTGAATTTGAACCATACACCTCTGGGATTGCAGTGCAGCTTCTTGCCACTAGGCCACCAGAGCTCACCTGAAGTGGGATTTAAGCCAGAGAGTCTGGATCCTGAGTCCAGCTTGTCACTTCCTCCCCCACCACACACACACACACACACACACACACACACACACACACACACACATACACACACGCGCACGTGCGCGTGCACTCCATTTCACACTGGAGAGGCAGTCGACTGAGGCTGAGCCCTCTGGGAGTCTATTTTGGGATGGAGTTCCCATCATTCTGCTTTGAAGATTGGTACCCCTCGGGTCTAGTCATCCAGTACACTCACGAGGGTCTCATAATGAGACTGGTTCTCTGACCTATCCATGCTCACACTAGGAGGAGAATTTACCTGGGAAGACAATTTAGGATCAGAATTTTGGTGTTTGATTAATAGAGCCAGGGAAAGGGAAGCAAGAAGAAGGTGTGTTTTGCTCGGACCTGCTGGGTTTCTGGGTGAACAGAATTCTAGGTGGGAACACACAGGCAAAAGTCAAGAGATTTGAAAGTCAGGGGAATAACCTGGACTAAAGATCTAGGGAGCTCTGGTGGTTGAGTGGCAAGAAGCTGTGCTGCAATCCTGAAGGTACATGGTTTGAGGCCACCAGCTGCCCAGTGGGAGAAGGAAGGGCAATCTCCTCCCATGATACTAACTGCCACTGAAAACCCACTGGAAGGTCAACTATGAATCAGTTCCAACTCTATGGTACACAACAACAACAACAACATCATAACTTTAGCTTCTAAGGGCACAGAACTAGAAGCTTTGCATGTAAGTGAAGTCACTGAAGAGGAGAATAAAGATGGCAAAGAGTTGAGGGCAAAATATTTGCAGAAAGCCCATATTTATAAGACAAAGGGAGGTGTAACTATTGTACAAGTAGAAGGTGGCAAGTGAGGAAAGAAGAGAATCAGATTGTGAGACATCACAGAAGCCCCAATAATGGGTTTTAAAGGGAAGGACTGGGTTACAATTGTATAGGAACTTTACAGATGGAAGGACTGGGTCCAGAACGTGTGTTATTGCACTTAATCTGCAGTGGACTCATGGACCAGTTGGCTGAGAGACTGGGCTGACCTTTTGAGTTTCTTGGAAATGAGCGATAAAGTGCAGAGGGCCGGGAAGAAGTCAGATTTCAGAGGCTATAGGAAGTGGAATATTAAAATGTCAAAGCACTGGGTTTTAACTTTTTCGGTAAAGGAAAGAGGGGGAAAGAGGATGAATGCTAGACATTGAGAAGACATTGAGTTGGGTCATGGTTATTTCTTTGCAAGATTTGAGTGCATTGAGTACCTTACAAGCTTGGGGTCAGATGCCATCTTCTGGAGAAAGTCAAGGGCGATTCTTTCATCAGCTTGTCGAGATGGGGTGGGGGGATCTGTTGTGGGCTTCTTAGGGAGGGACAATGAAGAGGGCTGGCCGAAAGCATTGACTTGAATGGCGAACTCCATCTATACCTGTGACAGAAGGCTGGCTGTGGTCAGCGCTTGTGCGTGGATTCTCCTTCCCTTGTCAATGCTAATCTTCTCCCTGCCTTTCAGCCCCAGTGGACGAGGTCCAGCTGTCTATCCTGTACGGTAGGGACGTGGAGACTGGGAATGACATTGTGCTTCAGTGCTCCGTGAAGGAAGGGTCTGGTCCAATCACCTATAAGTTTTACAGAGAGAATGACGGCAAACCCTTCTACAGCACCGTTTCCAATGAAACCAAGGCAATTTGGTACAAGACACAGGTTAGCAAGGAGCAGGAGGGAGAGTACTACTGCACAGCCAACAACAGAGCCAACGCCCCTAGAAGCAGTGCCCCCCACAGCAATACGCTGCCAGTCAGAGGTGAGTCATGGGCCCAGAAATGAGGTACGTGTGGGCTCCAAGGAGTTTGGCCAGAGAACACACCCCTTTGTTTGGGTGGGAGTTTTGCACATGGGACTGGAGATGATTGGCCGATGTTCCCCAGGTTCTTTGACAGCAAATGACAGAAACCTATCCAACTAAAACAAAAAGAGGTCTTTTCTCTTATAAGGAATTGGTGGTATTTCACACAGTCCCAATTCCAGACTCTTGACGGAGAGATGCCAGCTGGCTCACATTGGGTCTAGCGTCTGCCCTGTGGCTAAGAGCTTTGGGTTATGCAGAATGAACGTGGTTAGGGAAGCTCTAACAAAGGACTGAATAGATATCCTAAAAGTTGTGGACCCCAGCAAAGTTGGTTTGCTCCCTCCTGTAAGACTGTAGGTAACCTCTGGCATTGAAAGTGTCATTTCCGCACCAGGTACAAGCACAGCATCCCTGACACACAGATACCAAGCATAGGGACAAGTTACAAGGACTGTAAAAAGAATTCTTCTTTGTTACTTAAACTTGAAATTGTTTCTTGCTGGCTGAGGGGACAAAGATCTGTACATTGAAATTGTTTTCGTTTCTAGTCTTCCTAGCCCCGTGGAAGAAAGGACTCATTGCAGTGGTTGTCATTGGACTGATAATTGCCACCTTGATCCTTGGGGCCAGATGCTATTTTCTGAAGAAAGCCAAGGGTGAGGGCAGCTCTTTCATTCCATCCTGACAGGTGGCCCTTTGCCAGGAAACTGGCCATCATTGGGTTGTAACTCAGCTTTACAGGGGAGCTGGGGGGAAGGGGTGGAGCCTGGTGCTCTGCACCCCTGGAAGCTGAGCTGAGGTAATTGATCACTGTGGGTTTTCTCCTTAGGGCGCCATCTTGATAACTTTGATCTTAGTGGGCATGGAGTTATCATTGTCCTGGATTTAACTAGACAGAAATGAAAAGGATGGCTTATAGACGGGCAACTTGTTGTTGTTGTGTGCCACTGAGTCAAAACTGACTCATAACTGACCCTCCAGTGGGTTTTCAGAGGCAGTGCATTGTACAGGAGTTTGGCAACTGTCAATGTTAATGTGCCATCAAGTTCGAACCGACTCATAGCTAACCTTTCTAGCGGATTTTCAGGGGCATGAGAGGAACATGCCCCTCCTTCTAGAAAAAAAAAGATTAGGGGAGAAGTTGCATCTACACTGGTCAGAAGTCATTCCACTGTGTTTGGTTACACCGGGTCTTAAAGTTGCTAGAGTGGCGTTGGAGTGGCGTGAAGACACCCGCAGACACATCCTACCCAGTGAGTTATTTCCCATTTAACCTGCCGTTTGTGCTGTGATGTCTGCCCTGTGCTTGGAGTCGACCAAGCACAGATGGGAAGCCGGGATCACCCACTGACACTGAGGAAGCCGTCAGCCAGTCGGGTCCAAGGGGAAAAGGCGTAGGTCCAGAACCATACCCACTGCCGACAAACTCTAGGAGGGAGTAGAATTGCTCCATAGCATTTCTAAGGCTGTAATCTTCCCCACCAATTAACTTGTTGCTGTGATTTGAGTGGAAGTTGACAGAACAGATGGGTTTTCTGTTCAACCATTCAGAACCATTTCGTGTTATGACATTGATTGCAATGCTCCAATTGTACCAGAACTCTTCCCACTTGGCCCTGTGTTTGTCTACGCTTTCCAATTGTCCTTTATTCCTATCCCTTCCTGCCTTCTGAGATTTACACCCAAGCAAAGGCTGCTCTTTTGATCTTATATGGTTTAGTGTTTTAAGGAGTGAATTCTTCCCTGGTGCTGTTGATCATCTTATAAGCCTGATAAGTGTTTGACTGAAAGAAGGAATGTGTTAAGTTCCAAGACTGAAGAGTGGTCAAGGGCTACTCTCTTAGAGATTCTACTAGTCTCTACCAGACCAATAAGCCTGATCTATTTTATAATTTTGAGTCCCCCGCCCCATTTTTCTCCTACTCTGTCAGGAACCTTCTATTACAATCTTTTCAGAGTGACCAGAAGGCAGCTGGGCACCATCTAGTTCTTCCGGTCTCAGAATCATGGAGATTGAGATACCTATGGTCACTACTGCACCACTAGGTGCCTGCAGGCCTTACAATACCAGGAAATCCCACATTTTTGCTTGTGGGTTAAAGGGCATTATATAGCCCCTGATGTTGATGTCTGTTGCAGACCAAGGGTATTTTTATAATTATTAATGATGAGACAGACTACTAGGAATGATATAGAACAGAGAGTGTGAAAAACAGGGGGCCAACAGTTCCCATGACTGAAGGCCCCAAGCCATGTTTCTCTGAGTATTTATTGAGAATCATAAGGAAGGTAAACAAAGTAAAATCATAAGGAAGTACAAAACAAAAACAAAGGATAATGGTGAAGTCTTTTGCAGATAAGGCCAAGTTCCTCTTTATGCTAATCTCAGGAGAGATGGATTCAGTTGATGCAAACTAAGAACAATGTTGACTCTTACCTTCAGCTTGTATTAAGCCTCCCTCATTTCCTGATATAGCATTTGGTCTACTATTATTAAATTTGATATTCGGCTTCCCTCAGCTGTCCAGGAAAGGATGGAGTAGATGTGGATAAAGAGGAGACTCGGGGTTTTTCTGGAACATGAACATTACTATTCCTATGGGAAGACAGGCCTCAAACAAATTCCTTGTTCATGGTGACCCTGGCATTGGTCTTAGGCCAGCTTGGAATTAAAAGCAAATTGGTTAATTTAGCCTTTGCCTTTTGGAATAGTGTTGAATCAAAGTGGTCACTGCCCCTCATCTGGCTATTTTGGGTCTTTGTCTCCTATCATGTACTGCTAATGAAAATCACTCCTGGCTGAAATTAACAAAATAGAATTTTTCTAGGGAAATCTCTTAAGACCAAGAGAAGATGTGTTCTCTCATGCATGTTTCCCTTTCATTTAGCATGACCGTATTTAGATTTCTTTCCTCTCTTTTTATGAGTATTCAGTATTCAGGAGAATAAGCAAAAGTGATTGAAATTGGAAACCCTGGGGTCAGTTCTCCTCTACCACCGTGAGTTGGAACTGACTTGACAGCAGTGCATTATGGGGTTTTCATCGGGTATGGACATTGATACTGACTTTGGTTTTGCTCTTTCTCTTCAAAGCCAAACAGATACCAGTGGAGATGTCCAGGTCAGAGCACTTGTGGAAGAGGGACGATGCTGTGGAGCACGGGTGGGGTGTCTGCTGTAGGGCATTGGTGGGGTGTCCGGCTTTGGAGGTTGAATGGCTGGGATGCTCTGAGACATGGAAGTTTTCAATGACTCTTGAAAAACTGTTGAAAATGATGAACTCATGAAAAGAAAAGGTGTAGGTTAAGAGTGGTGTGTGAGAGAGAGAGAGAGAGTGTGTGTGTGTGTGTGTGTGTGTGTGTATCTGTGGAAGATTGCCAACTGTTCTGTCCTGAGAAGAAATAGCTTTTATTATGAAACCATGTCCTTCCTGTACTGTAACATGGGAAATCCCCTTTTCCCATAAATAATTCTGGTGGCAGGAGATGGAATTTGAAAAATGTACTTACTTGGAAAGATAAATTTCATAAATTCACATTCTTGTTGCTATATACCTCAGGCCAGAGCCTGTACATAGCAGACCCTCACAGCTGGTTTTCAGAAGCTGTAAATCACATGGAGCAGAGTGCCCATGTTTCTCCATTAGAACAGTTGGTGGATTTGAACTGCATGCTCTGGGGCCAGCAGCAAAACTCCTTACCGTTAAGCCACCAGCGTTCCCTATTTTAATCTGAAAACTTGGATTTAAAAACTTTTTCTTTTCCTGTGATATCCCAAAATCTCAAATATGGAAACGAATGCTCTGGTCCTCAAGAGATTCAGGGACAGGATGACGATTTTAGGAGTCTTCCTTCCGCATAGTCACCTGGGAAAGACTCTAGATGATAGTGTTCGCTCACTTTAACAGGAAAAAGGAAACCATGTCAAATAGTCTTAGAGCTCATTTTATAAATGAGAAAGTGGAGCCTTCCTGACCTGGGGAACTTCTTCCTGGTTGGCCCATGACCTTCCCTTGTTTGTCTTATTGGTTGGGGTGAGAGTGAAAAATATTATACTATTGTTTTATTTTTCATTTTCTTTTTTAAGGCCAGCAGCACCACTTCTGAACTCCAACAATGAGAAGATCTCCTCTGATCCCAGTACTGAAGCCAACAGTCATTATGGTACAGTAACGTTAGGGTGCCCTAGGATTACCATTTTCCCGACTTGATGTCTTCACCTTTCTTAAGAACAGAGCCTGTAGGTAGTGGGGTTAAAATTGAAAAAAACACTTAGTCTAAGTGAGCTCTGGTGGCCTAGTGGCAAGAAGCTGCACTGCAATCTCAGAGGTACACGGTTCGAATCCACCAGATGCTCTGCTGGAGTAGGAGGAACAATCTCCTCCTGTATCAGTCAGATCTGATTTGACGGTACACAAACACAAAATAATAATAAAATAAATTTAAAACTAAAACCCAAACAAAACAAAACAGTCTAATCTGTCATTGAATAGTGTCACAACAAACAAGAGCTTCAAAAGAAAGCACATTTTCTTCTTTTTTTTTTTAAAAAAATTATTTTAATGAAAGTTTACAGACACTTTGGATTTCTATTCATTCAGAGTTGCACACTTTCCTCCCTGCCTACCCATCGCCCCAGTTCACTTTTCTCTTTGAAAAGTAAAAAAAATATTTAATTATTATACAATTCCGCCCCCCACCCAAGTCTACTACACCATACAGCTTTCATTCTGGACTCTTGTCATGGCAATAATACATAAACATATATTCCTCCTAAACAGTTTTCTCCCTCATCTGTTTCAATGCAGTACACATAATTTATCCCATCTTTCTCAGTCTCCCTCCAAATCCAATGTCAGTCCCGCCTTACAACAGTGGCACTATGCAGTATTTGTCCTTTTTTTTAAGTTATTAGTTTTCTTCTTTATTATTATTGTTGGGTTGGGTGGGGTTGTTTGTTTGTTTGTTTGTTTTTTATTAATTCTAATGAAAATTTACAGAGACTTTGAATTTCCATTCATTCATTATTGCACTTTTCTCCCTGTACACACCTCCCCCCAAGTTTGCTCTTCTCTTTGAAAAGTAAAAGAAAAATTCTTTCATTGTTATACAATCCCTCCCCCCATATTTGTCTTTTTGTGACTGAGATATTTCACTCAACATAATGTCCTCCAGGGTTACCCACTTTGTATAATATTTCATGAGTTCCTTGTTTTTCAGTGCAGCATAGTATTCCATTATGTGAATATATCACAGCTTCTCTAATTTTCTTCTATTTTTACTACCTTGTAAACATCCAAACGAATAAAAGATGGTGGATAATTGTAATGTCATTGACACCAATTGTGTGTCACCTTCAAAGGCTTTGAGTGTTGTTCAGGTAGGGTGGCTGAGAGCCAGAACCAGCACACAACAATGCCATTCTCCATGTGTGAGGCAGAGACCAGATTTCCAAGCGGGGCACTGGTAAACCTCTTCTCAGCTAGAGTTAGTTCAAGAACACCAAACCCCTTCAATCTCCCGTCAGTGAGTCAATTCTGATTCATAATGACCCTCCATCAGGCTTCTGAGGCTTTGTGGAAGGAATTTTCCCATCGTTCTCCTGAGTAGCTGGTGGATTCGATCCACCCATCTTTTGGCTAGCAGCCCAATATGTAATCCACTTCGCCGCCGGAGATCCATTTATTAGGAGAAAAGGATGATTTTATTTCAAACATTCCACACGGAGAAGACCAATTTAAAAATTTTCTTAGTTGAGATTTTCCTGGTTTGTTTTTAAAGTGGTATGTTAAACAAACACCCACTGATTAATTACTTCCCAGAGAGGATTATAATTATAACCCACAGAAAGTTCTGACCTAGACGAGCTGTGGGGCTGTTTTCTTTGCCAGCCGGTTTGAGTGCCCAGGCTCAGCTAATTTTCCAGCAATGTCACAAAAATGAGAAAATGTAAGGCTACGCCCTTTATAAGGTAAAGCATACCGGAGAAAAGTCACGTGAGAATTGAGCAGCTCAGATAGTTATGAATCGAGAACTTCAAAAAAATGAATGAAAACATTTGCAGACATAAAAGTGACCTACCAATGAAAAGGAAAAAGCAAATAATATCATTTAGGAAACTACTCAGAAAAATTCTGGTGATTATTTAGCAAAAAGTAAACCGATGCCACAGAGAAGAGTCTCTTTAGTGGGAAATTCTTTTAATGCAGGTTCAGAGGCATTTAAAATAAATGCTGATATAAGTTTATGTTAAAATAAGGACTCCTCCCAAATTTCCATAATGCAACAGACACTGCAATTTGTATTCTAATGTTTCCAGATAGCTTGATTTCATTTATAAATATATTGAAATTATAATAATAATTCAACTCAAACTCAACTCATTGCCATTGAGTCAGAACCGACTCCTTGCTGACCCTCCCACTGGTTTTCAGAGACTGTAAACCACACAAGAGGAGACTGCTTATCTTTCTCCCTTGGAGTAGCTGGTAGATTTGAACTGGCTACCTTTGGTTTGGCAGTACAACTCTTTACACATTAGACCACCAGAATTCCCTTCACAGCAATTAGTTCAAATATATATTGGAAAGTCATGGTTTTTCAGCAATTGTACTTTTAATTTTATAAAAACTCCTTTTAATAAAACCACTTGATTCAAACAAACAAACAAAAATGGCCAGGCTTAATATTCCCTTAGAGCCTGGTGGAACCCCTGAGACTGTGACCATTATTAACTCATTCTTGTTGCTCAACTTGTATCAAAATAACAGACAGGCCTGTAAGGTAAACAATAGTAGTGGAGAAGCACACACTCTTTGGAATAGTCAAACACATAAGACTAAAAAAGGGGGAAAAAAAGGAAAACAAGTTTGTTTAACTCAAGCCCATGGAGGTGGCAGCCTTTGCTGCTATCAGTCTTATTCTCATGGATCCAAGTTCTCATGCTAGAAGGAGAGGGTTCATTTACTACTTCCTGTTTGTGGTTACTGGGTACTTCCTTCTAGAAGGTGGTTTCATTTTTCTCAGGAGGATCATTCTGAACCACAAATAGAAGCACACCTCCCATCAGATGGTACACTTCCCACTCGTGTTAGAAAGCGACCCTAGTAACTGGGCTAGATGGGACCAAAGAGGAAGAAAGATCCAGAACCTACACAGATGGTCCCTGTTGACTGCCAGCTTGACTTCCTGTTAATGACACTGACTTCTCAAAAAGCTATTGAAAATGAGAATTTTCATTATTACTCTAATCAATTTTATTCTTTTCAAAATTAGGTTACAATGATGATGCTGGGAACCATTCAATGAAATCATTAAGTGAAAATAAAGGTGATTATCTAACTAACAATTGTATTAAATGCCTTTGCATTTGACAAAGAGCCCTGACCGCACAGTATGTTACATGTTGGACTGCCAAGCAAAAAATCAGCTGTTCAAATCCACCAGTTGTTCCATAGGAGGAGGGTGGGCAGTTTTCTCCTGTAAAGGTTTATTTACTGCCTCAGAAACCCAGTGGAGGGTTTCTGTGAAGGTAATGGGTTTGGTTTCCTAGGGAGTTTTTACATTAAAAAGAACCTTTCTACTCATTGCTATGGAGTCGGGACCCAACTCATAGCTGACCCTTAATTAGGTTTCCAAGGCTGTAAGTCACTTGGGAGGAGATTGCCTGCCTTTCTCTCATGGAGCAGCTGGTGGACCATCAGAGGAGCGTGACCTTTGGGTTAGCAGTGCGACTCCTTATAGACTGCATCAGCCAAAAAAACAGAACACAGTTAAGACCCCACAGATATTCCCCAACCTGTGTAAATGACCATGTTATATAATAGAAACAGCTGGATGCTTTCTCCAAAGTGTCTTTTCTGGGAAACACACCCAAATTCATAGGAAAGGAGGAAGGAGATTGTTCCTCTTTCTCTCAAGGTGTAACTGGCAGATTTCAATCACTTGTCTTTGGATTGGCTATATAACTAAAAAGGAAATTTCTGATAGGGATGTGGTTGTGTACCATCTAGTTAGAGCCAAGCCCATAGCTGACCCTCTGAGGAGTTTCCAGAGGCAATTAATTGCACAGGAGGAGACTGCCCACCCTTCTCCCGCAGAGCAGCTGGTGGACTTGAACAGCCTGCCTTTGGGATTGCAGTGCAGGTTCTTGCCACTAGGCCGTCAGAGGATGGTTGTGAATATCCAAAAATGAGCTATCAGATGGGTTGTAAAATTGCCTCTTTGGAGTAGTAGAGGAAGGAATTTAAAATGGAACTGCTACTTGCTTTTTAAGACCACAATTATATCGCTTACTTATGCCCACAATTCAAAAGGAATGGGTAAATAATTCCTCAGCATTCCTTCTTGCTCTGAGCTGCTGTCATAGGACTTAAAGCTCTAAAAAAAGGGATTCTTTAAACGCCTCTGTGTGCTTGATGACAGAGTCACTGTTTCATTTTCTGGCAAGAAACTCTGGTTCTTTGGGGCTTTTGAAACAAAATAAATAATATTTTCATTTAAGATAATCAATTAATTGACCATAGCACCCTAAGGGATTTCATTAACTTGGTTTTTTTCACAACTATGCGTCCTGCTTTCAGGGAATTTTTGAGGCTAGTGACCCAGTCCCCATTTCTTGAGACCCTGTTAGCCTTGGGCCTAGCTCTCTATGCCTGTGGCTTGGAGGAAGTGACCAGCATTTCAAGTGACACTGACCTGAGTTATTGGGTGTGGCCTACACTGGGCTACTTCTGGCAAGCGCATGCGCACCTCTCCTCCCCCCCCCCCCTTGTGTCATCAGGTCAATTCCATGTGTATCCATGTAGATGGTGCTCCAGAAGGTTTTAATGATTGATATTTGGAAGCAGACCACCAAGGCCTTCTTCCAAGGCATCTCAGATGAACTCAAACCCCACACCTTTCAATTAACAGTGGAATGTGCCAACCATGTGCAGCTCCTGGTGCCTCACGTCTTGTGAGGAGTGACCAGTGACCTTTTAAAATCCTCTCCCCAGGAAAACAGCAGGGACCCAATGTCCTCCCTCACCCAGGTATCAGGGTAAGAAGAGGTCATACAGAAGTACAATTTCAGTACTAGTTTGGGGACCCACTCATGTCCTGGGCCTGCTTTTCCCCTCAAAATGCTCAATAAATTAATCATGTGAATGAAACTCTCTGTGGGGAAGGTCCCAGAGGTGATGGTGTCTAACCCCAAGGCTCTGTGCTTTCTCTGAGCAGATTCTCTGAACTCGAACGTGGAGTACACAGAAGTGGAAGTGTCCTTACCTGAAACTCACCAAGGTAACACCATTTCCGTGTCCTCCTTTTGGCTTGCGCATGAATATCGAGTGGACATGGGGCATGACCAGAAGGGAAGTGGTGGGCAGAGAGCCCTGGACCAGGCTTTGGGGTCTTAAGAGTCACTCATTTTTGTTATGATCCGATTAATATGGTCAATACTGTGAGCGTTTGCTGAGGACCAGGCTTTTACTAAGAGAGAAGCTATTTATTTCTTTTTAGAGGGAAGCTCTCTGAGAGCAGCTTGGAGCAAGTGATTGGGCAGCTTCGAGAAGTACCTCCCTAATCCAGCCTCCTATGTTCCTCAAAGAGTTGCTACAGGATGAGCTTGTGTAAATGAAATGGATTTTTTTAATGTGTTGTGGGCATTGCTTTTTTATTAATGTTTCTATTCAGGTGAAAGCCTTTTAAAAAATTTAATTTATATTGATTTGCGTACAAAGTTCATATATATTGTGTTTCACACTATCCTGCATTCACATTGTGTTTCATACAATCATTCCCATTCATTATATTTTATAAAATTAATCGCCCTTGAGCTATGCTCACCATTACTCTTTTTCCAGATATCCACCAGATATTTTCCCATTTCCTTTACCCCCCTTCACCCACCAAATGGAACAGCCCTATAATGTTCCCCTGCCCATCCTCCCCACTCTGCTCCCCACTCCCTACCTGGGATCCTCATACGCGTTTTACTGCTTATCTTTGTATTTCCACAATAATGGTCTTATGCAATATTTGCCCTTACGAGACTGAGCTAGTTCTCTCAGCCTAATGCTCTCAAGTTCCTCCCAAGTTATGTAGTAATTTTTGAAATCATTGCTCCTGAGTGCTGCATAGTATTCCATTCTGTGAATGTACCACAATTTCTCAATCCATTTAATTGTGGTTGGATGGTTGCACTGTTTCCAGTGACTAATGCTGCTATGAACGTTGGTGTACAAATCTGTGTTGGGTGAAAGCTTTTGAAAACAAAGAATGCGTTTCATTGTGAGCACTTTGTGGCTTTTGGCACCACATCAAAACACGTTTATCTTAACCCTCTTTTCCTTGTGTTCATCCACAAGGTGAATTTGGTTCTTCCTGCTCTGCTGGGGCACTTATTAGGACCCCTGACCTCCATACCTTCCCCGTGAGACTGTGACCAAGGTGTCTGTGCAGCCTTGAGGCAGTTTGCAGACCCAGGCTGTGTAGAATTATTCAGAGCCACACAGCAACAGCTACTTGAAAATGCCTTTTAGCCTATGATGGAGAGGGATCTTGAACTATGGCCATGCAGTGATTAAAGAACCCAGTTGCTAACTGAAAGGTTGGTGGTTTAAACCTACTAACGATCTGCAGGAGAAAGATATGGCTTCCACCAAGGTTCACAGCCTTGGAACCCTCTGTGGCAGTTCTACTAAGTTTAACAGTGCCACTATGAGTCAGATTTGGCTCCATGGCAATGGGTTTGGTTTTGGTAAGGAAGAATTTTGGGTCTCTTTCTTTGAAGTAGTTACTTTAAGAGTTCAGTTGTAAAAACAAAATATTCAAACTTTGTAAATAAATCAATATAAAATTAAAAACAAAACAAAACAGGACTGACATGGTGGTTGGGGGGGGAACTAAGAAAAGAGGGGATAAATAATGAACGCTGCATTGAAATAGATGAGGGAAAGAACTGTCTAAAAGAAGTATCATTGTTGTTGTTATGTGCCGTCGAGTCGCTTGCAACTCATAGCGACCCTATGTACAACAGCTCTAAATGCTGCTCTGTCCTGTGCCAATCTCCGACACACTCATCCCAATTGCCCCAGTCTCCGAATCAATCCATCTCCCAGACAGCCTTCCCTTACCGCGCCTGCCCTCCACCCTCCCAAGCATGATGTCCCTCTCCAAGGACCAATCCCTCCTTACAACATGACCAAAGTATGTCAGACGGAGCCTCAGAATCTTTGCCTCCAAGGAGCCGCCTGGTTTAACCCTCTCCAGGATGAATCTGTTTGTTTTCCTAGCAGTCCATGGCACCCTCAGCACTCTTCTCCAACACCAAAGCTCAAAAGCATCAATTCTCCTGCTATCATCCCTGGTCATTGTCTAGCTCTCTGACGCATAACAAGTGATTGCAAAGACCATGGCCTGTACCAGAGCACCTTAGTCTCCAGAGACACACCGTTGCTCTTGAGTACTTTAGAGAGGTCCCTAACAGCAGACTTTCCCGTTGCAATATGTCTTTTAATTTCTTGGCTGCTGGTGCCAAGAGTGTTGATTGTGGCATCAAGCAGACTAAAGCTGTGAACACTTTCAATCTCTTCACCATCCATCCTGATACTGCCAATTGGTCCAGTGGTGAGAATCTTTGTCTTCTTGACATTGAACCTCAATCCATATTGAAGGCTGCAGTTCCTGACCCTCAGCAGCAAGCGCCTCAGGTCCTCCTCAGTTTCAGCAAGCAGGGTTGTGTCATCTGCATAACGCAGATTGTTGATAGATCTTCCACAATCCTGATGCCACATTTCTCCTCATAGAGCCCAGCCTCCCGGGTGATCTGTTCTGCATAGAGGTTGAAAAGGTATGGAGATAGGACACATCCCTGGAGTGTGCCCTTCCCAATTTTGAACCATGCAGTGTTTGCTTAATCTGTTCAGACGACTGCCTCTTGGTTCAAGTATAAGTTTGGCATTAGCATGATCAAGTGTTCTGGGATTCCCATTCTTCTCAGAGTCAGCCACAGTTTCTTATGGTCCACACAGTCAAACACCTTTGCACAATCAATGAAGCACATACAGACATTCTTCTGGTGTTCCCTGCTTTCAGCCAATATCCATCTAACATCAGCTACAATATCCCTAGTTCCACGACCCCTTCTAAACCCAGCCTGGACTTCCAGCAGTTCTCTGCTGATGTGTTGTTCCAGTCGTTTTTGGATAATCTTCAGCAGAATCTTGCTTGCATGTGAAATCAACGATATTGTTCTATAGTTTCCACACTCTGTTGGGTCACCCTTCTTTGGAATGGGAACAAATATAGATCTCTTCCTGTCAGTTGGCCAAGTGGTTGTTCTCCAGAATTCTTGACACAACTTGGTGAGCTTGTCCAGGGCAGCATCTGTTAGCTGAAATACTTCAATTGGTATACCATCTGTTCCTGGGGCCTTATTTTTTTTGCTATTTCTTTCAAAGCAGCTTGAACTTCTTCCTTCATCACCATAGGCTCTTGTTCATATGTTGTTTCATTACATTCTTCTGTGTCTGCCAATTCCTTTTGATACAATGGCTCAGTATATTCTTTCCATCTTCTTTTGATACCTCCTGGGTCATTTAATACTTTGCCTGGAGAAGAGTGTTGAATATACCATGGACTGCTAGGAAAACAAACAGGTTCGTCCTGGAGAGAGTGAAGCCAGAATGTTCCCTGGAGTCAAGGATTCTGAAGCTTCGTCTGACATATTTTGGGCATGTTGCAAGGAGGGACTGGTCCTTGGAGATGGACATCATGTTTGGCAGAGTGGAGGGGCGGCAAAGGAGAGGAAGACCTTTGATAAGATGGATCAATTCTGTGACTGAAGAGGTGGGAATAAGTGCATTTGAGATGGCTAGGTTGGCACAGGATATCATCCTATCTCCAGCTCCATTTCTGTCTCCAAGTCCATGTTTTCTGACTACTGATTCTTCTTGTCTGTTCCCAGCTTTTGCATTCCAGGTATTATTTGCATGACAATAGTCCAGAATAAGAGGTGCATAGCAAAGTGGACTGTGGGGCAGGGGGGAGGGAGGAAATTGTACAACAGTGAAAGAATCTTTTTAAAGAGAAAAGTGAATTGGGGGGTAAGGTAAGGAGGAAAATATGCAGCAATGAATGAATGAAAATCCAAGTTTTTTATAAAATTTCATTAAAATATCAATAAAAAAATAGAAAAGAAAAGGTTCAGTTGCTGAAAGAAGGGTCAGTGTGAGGTTCGTTTTGGTTTTTCTCCCCTGGCTTGGGAGCTCTGGTGGCCTAGTGGATAAGGAACCATGCTACTACTGCAAAGGCAAGTGGTTCAAATCCACTAGCTGCTCCACAGGAGGAGAAAGATGGGCAGTGATTCATGGCCTCTGAAAACCTTCTAGAGGGACAGCTATACGTCAGTTCCAACTTGATGGCAAAACCGTCACCCTCACCCCTTTCATAGTCTGACACCTGGTACCATATCAGCAGACACAGGCCCATGAACCACAGAACCACAGAATAATCATCATTGCAGATCACAGTAAATCCTCAGAAAGAGAAGAAGACATAGGAGGCGCCACCTCCCTGGCTTAGGGGATTTCAGGGGGCTACTTTTGAAGGGGCAGCATTAATCTGGGGCCTCAAAGATGCAAAAAGGTCCCATCATGAAAGGGGGGACAGTGTGAGGCTGTAGTGATCTTGGCTCATTTGCTAAAAAGAGGCCTGTGTGTGTCTGTGGGTTCAAGGTCAGTGATGAAGCCGGGAAGGAAAGGATTGGGGTGGAGTACAAAGGCTTTTTCCATCCCCTTCCAAGTGACTTGAGGAGTCACTGGAAGGCTTTAATCAGAGAAGGGGTAGGATCCAACTTCTTGACAAAAGATGCTGGTGGTTACCATGGAGAACTGAGGCAGGAGGGTGAAAAAGAAGTAGAGAGACCAGTATGTTCTCATCAGGCAAGAAGGGAGGAAGGTGGAGCTGAAATGCCCGTGAAGGGTGGATTCAAGATACACAAAATTGCAGCGCTGGATGGAGATTGTAATGGCTGGAATGGAGGTTGATGATGAAATGTTTCTTGACTGAGCAAGTGCTTGGATGGTTGTACTATCTGAGATTGGGAGGAACAGGCTTGTGGTTGTTCATCTAGGGACAAGTTTGAGATGCTCATGAGACCTCCAGAAGATAGCCCATTGGTCAGCTGCTCAGAGCCCAGTCTGGGTGAACTGTGATGGATGGGGTGGGAGGGACCACCCACCAGCCTTCCCTAGTCCAGTCTGAACCTGGTACAAAAGCCCTCTTCATCCCTCAGCATTACAAAGCGAGGTCCATGGCACCAACAAGCTTCCTCCTAAGGAGACCTCAGGTTTGAAAGGAAAGGGGAACAATAAAAAGAGGGAAGAGTTGCCCAAAGCTTGGGAATATACTCTGGAAAAACACAACTGTCTTAGTTCTCACCCCTCCACATTCCACCGAGCAACCAAGCGGAACATGGCCCCTTTGGCTTCCTGCCCTAGGCCTTGGCTTGTCACCACGGGGTCCTGAGGTTCCAAGACTCCTCACAGACGGTCAGGCCCTGCCTTTGCTCTCTAGCAGCCGAGTCAGGAGCGATGGAATGTCCATGATGCCTGAAGGCGTCCGGTTTAAGGAAGCTGAAGAAATGGCAGAGTTTTGTTCCTGAAATACTGTCCATTTCCCAGGGCGGCACTTCCTCCTTAAGAAAAGTTTCCTTGCTGGTAGCATCTGGTTTTCTTTCTCTTCCTAGAGGGCAGGGGAAGTTGATGGGAACAGGAGTGTGTTGGAACCTTCTCTAACAGGATGAAGCATGACCATCAGCCTCACATGCTTAGCCCCAGCCAGGCAATGCAGGAGCCACCTTTTTCCAGTTTGCAGGAAGGTTTTATGGGGCTGCCAAGGCCATCGGTAGAGCTAGGATGATGGCCACTATGGTGGAAATGGAGGCCCCTTCTAGAGGACTCAAGTTGAGGCCTCTGATCCCAGGCTCCTCGGCAGCTGTGGGGGTGAGGGTGGGAGATCCATGTCTCCCGGGCCTGCCCATGTCAGCTGGGTGAACTAGGAGAGGAAAGGTTCTGTGAGTTTAAGGCTGGTGATGAGTCAAGGTGACTTGGCCTTGGCCACCCTGTTCCCTCCCTCCATCACTTCTGAGTGGAGGTGGCATCGATACCATGTCCAGCTTGAATCCCTGCTGGCAGTGGACCAAGGGGTGGCTTGATGTGGGGGTGGGCGGGAAGGAACTTGTTAAGCCTCCAGTTGATGCTTGTTTGCCTGAGGCTAATTGCTGGGAAAACCCCATGACGTGGGAGCCATTTTTACCCCCTGTTAAATACAGAGGAAAACAGAAGTCAAGTGAAGGCCCGGCCGGAAACATCCGTGACAGCAGTGACAAACGGCCCCGCTGGCTGCTTTAGTCATTAGTGGGCGGCAGCTGCTGAGCTTCGAGGGGGAGAGGGATGAGTGGGCGAGCTGCACGTACACACACACACACACACACACACACACACACACGAACAATGCTGAGCCAGGCTGAAGCAGGAAGACTCAAATTCAAATCTAAACCCATGGTTGCTGAGCCAAAACTGACTCATAGCTGACCCTCCACTGAGTTTCCAAGGCTGTGAACTGACAGGAAGAGATTGTCACTGGGGGATTCGACCAAAGAGAACTGGCCTATGGGTTAGCATTGCTACTCACTACCCACTAGGCCATGGGCGGGCAGTGGTAGAAAGACTGCAGCCCTGGCCGGGACATTGAGTCCAGAGGTATAAGACAGTCCAAAGCCCAAGGTCCAAAAGGTAGCTGAGGGTCCCCAGGTGGCCAGAAAGGCCTGCTGGGCCCCCTGAAGTGCATGCCCTCAGCTCTCCTGACCCAATAATCCCCCACCCCGGGCTCCATCCATCCTCACCGTCTCAGCACTGTGGGGCTGGAGCAGAGGCCCAGCTAACAGTGTCCCTAGTACATCCTGAACCATCCTGGGCAGGACCCTGTGTGGGCCTGGGTGGGAGAGCCCCACACTTGCTCCTGCTGCTGCAGCTACTAACCTGGGCCTGGTCCCTTTTCCAGCTCTGGAAACGAAGGGCACAGAGACGGTGTACAGTGAAATCCGGAAAACCGACCCTGGTGAGTGAAGGTTCTCAGATGCCCCTGTCCCAACTAACTCTGAGCTTTGGGAGTGGGCAGGGAAGAGGAAGCCCGGGAGAAGGGGAGCAATGGATGTGCTTTATTCTGAAGACACTGAGTAGTGTCCACTTTTCCAAGGGGAGATTGCTTGGGGGGTAGGGTGAACCACTCCACTCCCATCTTCTTTCTGCCCTGACCCCACTTCCATTGCTGTCATGCCATGCTTGCTCGGACCTGACCGGGGACCAGCCACAGTGCCCAGGCTAAGCTGAAACTGATGACGGCTCCCCTGCCAGATTTATTTTACATAGAATTAATGTGTTAAAGTGTGTTGATAGAAAAACCACAAAGACTACTTTTAAATTTGGATCCAAAAGATGTAAACATTCTTGGAGAAATAGCAGCTCCTTGCACATTTTCCTTTGGTCCAGGAGACCTCTGTTTCCGTGGATCCTTGGGAAGAGGTGAATAAGACGGGCTGGGAAGCTTAGGTACACTATGGAGGGCCTAGTGACGCAGTGTGGCCCATGTGGGCTGGTAATGGTGGCAGTGTCAGACCCCAGCCCAGACCCCCAGGGTTTCTGGAATCCGAATTCTACCAAGATTAAACTGATTCTGATTCCTGCTAATATCTGAAAAGATGGTGATACAAGCAGTTTGCAAATTGCTGTAAATCTAAAGGTTGGCTGTTCAAATCCATCCAGTGGCTTTGCAGGGAAGCGAATAAAGGCCTGGCTATCAGATTCCCCAAAGATCACGACCGGATCTAGTTTAGTACATGTTGATTTTTTTCCCCTCATGTAGCTAATTTCTCTTGAGGTTTGGAGAGTCCCTTACACCTCTGAAGGGTTTATAAATAGCAAGCCTTTCTCCCTACATGTTGTTAGCTCACTTGTTCTACAAACAGCCCTCTGCTGGGGCCACAGTCATTACTTCTGCTTAACAGGTGGGAAAATGGGGAGGCGAGGTTAGGTGGCTTTTCCATATTGCAAGGTCACTTGAAGTGGCAGAGCATGGACTTGAACCCAGGGATTCTGGCTGCATAGTGGGTGCTCACCTCACATCTTTACAAGCCTTCACCCTGCTTCTCTCTGTGTTGCTAAGCCAGCTGACTCTTGTCTCCTCCCCGCCTCTTAAAAATTGACTGCCTGTGTCTACACTTCCCATCTTTCTTGGTTTGGTTTCCATGTTAACATCCACTCTTTCACAGAATTCAACTTGGTGTAATTCTGAGTTTAAGCGTGACGTTGCTGTGGTCTGAGTCCCAGCCTCTGCGCTAGAAGCAAAAGGCCCAGGAATTACAATGTCCCGGCTTGTGTGGAGGGAGATAGAGCAAGCGACACCGGGGGATCTTGGTCTCCTTCTCTGTGAAATGAGGGTCATGGGCCAGAATCCAGATCCATGTGGCCAGGCTTCTCAACATGGAGCGCTGCCCCCTGTGACCCCGATTCGGACTATAGCTGTGAGGCAGGGCTGAGAGCTCATTTCTCACAAGTTCCCACAGGATGCTGGAGGTGCTGGTCTGAGCACCACCTTTTGAGAACCACTGACCTCAGGTTCCTTCTCGTTTACCACACGGGCTCGGCCCAGCAGCTCGTTGGAAGGAGTAGAGTGTTCCTTGTTGCTGTTACGTGCTGTTGAGTTGGAACCGACTCAGAGCTGACCCGCCAGGGGATTTGAGGTGGATTGATTCAGTGACTGGGATAATCGGGATGGGTGTGTCAGAGACAGTGTGATTAGCACAGGACAGAGCAGAGTTTAGGGCTGTTGTACATAGGGTCACTAGCGACTCGACCGCACATAACAACAACAATAAATTGCATGGGAGGAGATTGCCCATCTTTTCCCCCCTCAGAGCAGCTAATGGACTCAAGCCACTTGCCTTGGGACTGACAGTGCAATACCTTCTTCATTAGGCTACCAGAGCTCACTAGGCCCCCTTAGAAATCCTGGATGGACCTCTTAGGGGAGGACAGGAATGCCCACCCACACTGCACGTGCGTGTGTGCATATGTGCATGTGCCCATTTGGAGGGGGCAGATAAGTGAGCGGGCTGGGTGTGGAGCAGGGTCTTATCTGCCTGATCCTTCTTCCCACCTTCATTCCTCAATTCCCCATTTTCCAACTGGCAGTACTTCAGGACTGTTTTGGGAAATGACCTCACAAGGTGTTGTTCTAGCTCGTACACCCCGTTTTCTGGCCTGAGTGCTTGCTTGATACAAAGGAAAACTGCTCCCCTAGATAAGCCAGAGGCCATGGGAGGACTGCCTCTCGGGGGGCACCCCCAGGGCAGGGTGTGCCTACAGGCCTCTGGTGGCTCCAGGGCCCAGGAGAGATTGTTGGGGTCATGCTGGCTGGGAGGCAGTGGCTGGAGTCCCCATAGGGGAGCGCTCAGGCTGTGGATGGCGTCTGTCTTCCCAGTCTTTGCTTTCTTGGCTTCAACTCTGAGCATTTTATCTGTTAAATGAGGTTGCTGGGTGAATGGTCTTAAGCTGCTTTCCAACAAAAACATGGGGGAGAGTCTCAGTGTCTTTCATCTGAAAGTGAAAGTCAGCTGTCCGCCTTGGCACTTCCAAGCGTGTTCTCCGGTCCCTTCCAGCCAACTTGAATCCTTTACACATCCTACTCGCCTTTTGGCCAAGAGCCCTCTGGTCTTTTCACTCCCACACCTGCCTGAGTTCCCTCCTTATTTGAGTCAAGGCGTGGGTTGACCTCAGGGACCTGATTCTGTGTTTCTGTTGCACTCCTGTTGGCCCAGAGGCTGAACTAAATGGTTTTCTATCCAGAAAGACGCCCAGAGGGGCACATGCTGTTATTAATAACTGAAAGGCTGACAGTTCAAACCCTCAGAGTTCTGCTCTGGAATACACTGAGTTGGAATCAACTTAGATTGGGGCTTTCTGTTCCAGGAAATTGATAGAAAACCACACTGGTGGAAACCAACATGCTGGCCTCAGCTCTGTCCTTATGAGCTATGGGGACCTGGTCCCAGGCTCTCATTTCTCCCTGGGACATTGATTTTCTCATCAATTCTTCATAAAATGCCTCTTATCTAGGCAAAGTAGGTGCACGATGAATGACCCCAGTGTCACCTGACTGTGTATGGTAGTGTGTTGATAGGTAAGGGCAGGTGGTAGGCGTATGGAGTCTGACTTGTCACAACTCATTCAATTACCAGGGAGGTTTTAGGTCAATTCAGAATGTGGGGTTTCTATGAGGAGCAGCGTGGACTGAAGAGATGGTTCCTTCTTCAGCCCTGTCTGTGCACCAGCTCCTTCTCAGTCTAGCCTCTGGAGGTGGTTGTTATGTGACATCAAATCACCTGTGACTCATAGAGACCCAATGTACAAGAGCTCTGAACCTTGCTCTATCCTGAGCCAAGCTCATTGTCTCTGACACATCTACCCCCATTATCCTAGTCACTGTGTCAACCTATCTCATTCAGGATCTTCCTCTCTTGTGCTGTCTGTCCCTCCACCCGCCCCAGAATAAGGCTTCTCTCCAAGGACTAGTACCCCCTTGCAACATGCCCAAAGTATGTCAGGTGGAGCTTCCGAATCCTTGCCTCCAAGGAGCAGCCTGGTTTCACACTCTCCAGGATGAACCTGTTTGTTCTCCTAGCAGTCCATGGTATATTCAATATTCTTCTCCAGCACCACAGCTCAAAGACATCAACTCTCCTTCTATCCGCCCTAGTCATTGTCCAGCTTTCCAGCGCATAGCAAGTAATTGCAAAGACCATGGCCTGTGGTAGTGACACAGACTAGTGATGGGCTGAACAGTCCCATAAGGAACTAGGAGGTCCCCAGGATAAACCTCAGGATTTTCATCTGAAAAATGGGGGAGAGGATGGGGTGTCTTTTCTGAACCCAGCGCTTACTAACTCCTGCTGGGTATGGTCAAGGTTAGGCAAGCCTGCTGCTACTGTGTTTGGATCCTGTTCTTTTGCTGACGTAGAGCTAGCTATTATCTTCTTGTCTCTGCAACTAACCCTTCATCTAAATGAGGAAACATCTCAATCTTTTCCCCCTTCCAGTGGCAGGATAATTCCTTGCTGTACTTTGCCTGTTAGGGAGAAAGTGAGAAGTTCTCAGGGCTAGAAAAATTAGAAAAGAAAGACCTTAAATTCGGAGAGGCCTGAGAAGGGAAATCGTGTGGAAAAGCGACGCAGGACGTTTTGTGTTTCAGTATCTTCTTTACAGGGAAGAGCTGCTGCAGAAAATGCTAATAATTTCCTTATAGTACTTTAGATTGGCAAGTTTAGCATTTTGGGAATTAAAAAAAATTCATTTGAGTGATTTACTTAACAACAGTAGTCAAGAACTGAATGATCAATGATCAACTTACTAGAATGGGAAGATTAACCTGTTTTCCTATCTCCGATAATAACAGAGATGTTACAGCCCAGATGAGACTTGCAAAGTGACGCTAGGTGAAAGCAGCCATGTATTGCACAACTCCACTGGCAAATCCACAGAATCAGAACGGCGACACGTGGTTGCCTGAGGCTTGGGGAGAGGAGGGTGGTGGCAGACCACGAGGGGCCTGGGCCCAGACTCAAAGTCATATCTCTGGTGTTGGAAGCTAAGCAGGGAACTCAAAATGTCAATAGTTCTCCTTTTCAAAAGTCCAATTTTCCTCCTGTGGTTCCTCCAACAGGAAAACCAGTTTCTCGAGATGCCAGCTCTCGCTCTGCCCGTGTCCAGCTTGGGAAATGTCCTGGGCACATCCCACCTGACAACTCCCAGGAGGCCCTGGGAGACACTAGGCTATGGCTGTGAGTCAGACAGGGCCCAGCTCCCCAGCCTGAGTGCCTGTCCCTTGCACTGCCCCCCTCTCTTCCCCTCTCCCCCTCTGCTATCTCTTCCCTTGGAATCCAGACTTCTATGCCTCTGAAGTGAGCAGAAGCTCGCAGCCCACACTCTGCCTGATAACCCTTCCCCCCCCCCACCCCTGCCTCCCAGCCACCAGTAAACCAAGAGTGGCTGGGCTGAGGATAG